TCTTGTCACAAGGATTACAAATGTGAAGTTGAAAGCACTAGCTTCAACCGTTCAAACGTTATGGCCAAGGTTAAAGTTTTTCAAAAGTAGGTCGAACTCCTAGGTCAAGGTCAAAGGTGTTGGTATCCAAAGAAAAGTCTTGTCACAAGGATTACATATGTGAAGTATGAAAGCCCTGGCACAAATTGTTCAAAAGTTGTGGCCAAGGTTAAAGTTTGGTAAACTTTTGCAAAAGAGGGTCAAACTCCAAGGCCAAGGTCAGAAGGTCAAATGTGGTGGTACCCAAGGATAGGTCTTGTCACAAGGAATGCACATGTGAAATGAAAGCCATAGCTCCAACTAATCAAAAGGTTTGAGCAAGGTTAAAGTTTTTGCTGACAAACAAACAGATAGACAGACAAACAGACGGACGGACAGGGCAAAAACTAAATACCCCAGAATCTTTGATACGGGGGCATAAAAATTGAATATTTTCTTTATTTAATGAATTATTTAATCTTTTAAAAAATGTTGCTAAGGGCTATAACTCCTTCTCGTGTCATTCAGGCATCTTCTTTTTTGTATTTCTAATGTAAAGATGGTTTCCCTACGGAAGCGTAATAGGGCCGCAGCAGTATGTTTTATTAATTTGTTTTAACAAATTACTAATTTGTTATAACAAATTATCAATTTGTTATAATAAATTATCCATTTGTTAAAACAGATTACTAATTTGTTATAACAGATTATTAATTTGTTATAACAAATTACTAATTTGTTATAACAAATTATCAATTTGTTATAACAAATTATTAATCTGTTATAACAAATTACTAATTTGTTATAACAAATTATCAATTTGTTATAACAAATTATCAATTTGTTAAAACAGATTACTAATTTGTTATAACAGATTACTAATTTGTTATAACAACTTACTAATTTGTTATAACAAATTATCAATTTGTTATAACAAATTATCAATTTGTTATAACAAATTATTAATTTGTTATAACAGATTACTAATTTGTTATAACATATTACTAATTTGTTATAACAAATTACTAATTTGATATAACAAATTATCAATTTGATATAACAAATTAGTAATTTGTTATAACAAATTAGTAATTTGTTATAAAAAATTATTAATTTGTTATAACAGATTAGTAATTTGTTATAACAAATTAATAATTTGATATAACAAATTATTAATTTGATATAACAAATTAGTAATTTGTTATAACAAATTAGTAATTTGTTATAACAAATTAGTAATTTGTTATAACAAATTAGTAATTTGATTTAAAAAATTATTATTTTTTACAAAATATGAAGGTGAATACAGATCTATGGAAGCCAGATCAGATCAGATCAGAAATCTTATTTTAAATCGGTTTTATGAACACGTTAAGCATAAGCTTTGGAGAGCTTTTGATCAATATGTTAATGTGGATTTAGATGAATTAGCAACTTAGATTAAAGCACTTTAATTTTTGTTTAATTGCAGGTTTTTCTTTAAATTTTTGTTTTGTTTTGTTGTTGTTTGTTTGTTTGTTTGTTTTTTTTTTGTTTTGTTTTTTTTTTTTGTTTTTTTTTTTTTGAGTCAGTTCTTTTGAATAGATTTCTCTGTTAGACAATTAAAAGAATAGCTGCATCCCAGGGATTATGTAGAAGAAATACAGAATGTTGGATCCTTCGAGAAAAATTCGAAGTTCCGGACAATTAAATATGATTTCAACGTCGTCCATTCAAAACAACACTTTTTTCAATGTCCACACAGGGGTCAAAATGGGAGAAGACCTATTTTTTCCTTCTTTACACATGTGTAATATTTTGTGTGTATTGTTATAACAAATTATATTGCTTAACGATTTCTTGTAAAATATATGAGAAGTCCTATATGAGACAACCAGGATGCAAATTACAAATGAATTTGAAGAAACAACTGTCAAAGTTTTCAGCCAATAATAAGTTATGAAGGCTTTAGTGGGACTTCGAGGGCTTTTCCAAAAGGCACGTATATTTTGATTATAAAAATTACATACATACATGAAAAAATTTCACAAGGTATCTAAATTCAAATTTTACGAAGTACTACCCACTCAAGAATATTGTTTATTTTCGTTTTCAGAAAAGGTTATTACAGAGTGTTTATCAATTTTTCTATGATAATTTATCTACAAATTCATTTTTTATCAATGTTGCCTTTATTGCCCCCAGCATAAATTGGGGCCAAGGAGGTTCACCAGAGGAGCAGATTCAGGTTTATGCATTAGGAACGGCGGTTTAGTTTAAAATATATTTTATTCATGATACATAAACTGGATTGAACAGTAGGCATAAATCATTTGGTACATGTATAGAATGAATCGAGAGAGAGAGGGAGGGGGGGTTAAAATGAAATAAAATAAAAGACATATTGAAAAAAAAAACATATTATAATGAACATGTTGATTCAGGGTGGGAAAAATTCCCTCTCCAAATAACATGTCTTTGATAAGATATTTTTTCCTAGCATACGAACGGGGATGCAATGACCTGGTAAATGGGAGTCAAGGACGGAGCCCTGGTGGGGGAGGAGGACAAAATTCAAATAGAGCTCCTAAGAATAAGTAAATAGGAACCAAAGAATTTAATGCATTGTATCTTTATAACAATAATTTTTGACAGTGAAAACTCTAAATGCTAAAAGATGTAAATCCAGATTAACATATTGGTCAAAAGCTGTAGCTGCAGAGCTTGTACATTTATTATTTTCACAAATTCAACTTATAAAAAGATTTCTGATCTCATCTGGCTTCCATAGATCTGTATACACTTTCACTTTATCAAAATTATTAATTTGTTATAACAAATTACCAATTTGTTATAACAAATTAATAATTTGTTATAACAAATTATTAATTTGTTATAACAAATTATTAATTTGTTATATCAAATTGATAATTTGTTATATCAAATTAGTAATCTGTTATAACAAATTAGTAATCTGTTATAACAAATTAGTAATCTGTTATAACAAATTAGTAATTTGTTTTAACAAATTGATAATTTGTTATAACAAATTATTAATTTGTTATAACAAATTAGTAATCTGTTATAACAAATTAGTAATTTGTTTTAACAAATTAGTAATTTGTTTTAACAAATTGATAATTTGTTATAACAAATTAGTAATTTGTTATAACAAATTAGTAATCTGTTATAACAAATTAGTAATCTGTTATAACAAATTAGTAATTTGTTAAAACAAATTAATAAAAGATACTGCTGCGGCCCTAATACGCTTCCGTATTTCCCTGAAATATACATGTATTTATAAAGTAACAACTATTTTGGAACTTTCAGCATCAGAATATGAATTCCAACCAGTTTCAGTGGCGGATCCAGAAGTTCATGTGGGGGGGGGGGGTTGAGGCCCGTTGGGCCGAAGGGGGAGGGCATGGGAGGGGGTGCCCCCCTCCCATAGGTGGGGGTTCGGGGGGCCTCCCCCGAGAAATTTTCTGAAAAAATGGCTCCAAATAGTGCATTTTCCAGCATTTTAGATTGAATTAATTCGTTTTTGGCCACTTTTTTTCTAGGTGATTTTCAAGACTGACCTAATTTTCAAGAATTAGAACAAAAAAAAAAAAAAATAAATTTTGGGATTATTTTTAACTTCCATGTAAACTTGAAAAATGAGACTTTTCTTAAAAAAAAAATTAAATGTAAAATCTGATAAAATTAGAAATATCGCCATTTGAAATATAATATCCAATTCTTCATTTTAAAATGCACATCCAATGTGTCACATGTGAAGCTCTGACTACCAAAATACAACTGATGTGCAATTTCCCAACACTTAGAAAATTTGGATTCTGTGTAGAAACCCTTATTACTCTTTTCAACAACTTGACTCTACTGTAAATATATTTTGATATGTAAGCAAATAATGATGTATCATATTGAAGAATAAATATAAATTTATTATTTTGGGAAATTGTTGGAATTATTGCTTTTTCATGGGGGGGGGGGGGGAGAGGGGGGGTTGATTTATAATTTCTAACATAAATGCACCATACTTCTATTTTTATCTTATCCATGCACTTACCAGCCCAATGTTTTGAAAAAAAAGTCTTGAAAAACAATAAAAAAGTGGCCAATTCTTGTTTTGACAGGATCTCTATTATATACATATAAGTTTTACCACAATTCATTATACAAAGTTGTAACCGTTAGTTGGATTTTATTAAACATCATTCAACTGTAATTTAAAAAAAAAAATGCAGACCATTTGCTTTTTAAAATTGCATTGTAACTTCTATCTACAAGTGTGCTTTTTTTCTGAATAATAATAATAATCACAGTTTATTCACATAGTTCAATAAAGTAAGATTCAATTTTCGAAGAATATTACTTTGGCAATACCAAAACAATACCTGTAATAACTATGTGCAGTTTTGGTTTGTTAGTGTATGACGTTGTGTCATCACTACCTGACTACATGTAGCTGCACGGACTATCATGATCTCTGTATTCCTGGTACTGTTGTTATATACCTGTGTATTGTGTGCGCTCAAGCGGAAAGGGATTTCGCATGGGTCTGTATATTTCACCTCTTTGTGTAAAACAATGGGCTTGGATAGAGTCTCATTTATGCAATATATTGTTAAAATGACTCTTGTAAAAAAAAAATTTTGATTGGGGGGGGGGGGTGGTTCCCGAACCCTGGGGGGGGGCCCAAACCCCCCTGAATCCGCCACTGAGTTTCTACATAATTTTTATGATACTGTTTATTTTTTTATGCTGACATATACTTCTGTTTATTTATGTCTTAAATCTGAAAAATATGGCATCCTATATATTTTTTACTATTATCAATTATGATTTAACTATATTCGGTAAAAATAAAAGCAGTTTTTCTACATTGTGAGGGTGGAAACCGGAAATTTACTGCTTGCCCTTTCGCTTTGCATTTACTTACCGTTTCAAATATCCGGTTTAATTTGCTTGTTGACAACACAGATGAGATGCTTTCTATCTCATTAGATAGAGCTTATACAATGAAACTGTCTCTATCTTGCTTATCTTAGCTTTGCTTACAGCTGATTACAAGTTACCACTGTAGATAATCATGGAAAATTCTGCCAGTGATGTATTTAAATGTAAAATGTGTAAACAAGGGAAACAAACGATGAAAAGGTGTACAAGATGTCGTGAGGTGTATTACTGGTACTGATCGCACTGTTACATGCAGCTACTGTATGAATAAATAATATGTTAGACGGTGCAACCGTTAGGGAGGGTGGAGCCATCAAGAGAACATGTCTATTCTCTAAAATTTGTTGTCTGATACTAAAATATGTATCAACCACAGGCACTTGTTTTGTATACGGGGCACCCCCAACTTACTTTTACCACAAGGTACCTAACTCAATTTCAGACACCCCGCTTCAAGCTAGTATAACTAATATGTTGACGGTGCGACCGTTAGGGCGAGCGCAGATACATATAGTGATATACAGTTTTAATTTCCATCGTCTCTTCAAACTGCATGTGACATTAGGTACGTCTAGACTCTAATGTCACATGACGTTGTATGTAAGTTGCATTACCAAATCAAAACCTGAACAGTGCTAGTTTTAATGAAGAATGCTTAATTTACTGGGGGGGGGGGGAGGGGGGGTCTGCAATATCCATTAAATCAATGTGATTTTATTTTTTCTTGAACTTTTGTTGCTACCACGAGAACGTAGTTTGCGGCGAGATGCAATTCGCAAAGCATTATGGGACCACAGGTTATTGCGGAAAAGAATCATTTGGATCAATGTGCACAGTCAGAATTTTCTCTTCGCCCAGGCGTTGCTTTAAGAGCTTGCAATCATTAACCTATTTTAAAATGACATCGTTCGCTTCAAGAGACTTTTTTCTTGTTAGATAAATCGTTTCAGACGTCTCTGGTCGAGCCTCTTTATTGTAAACCACTCATTTATTTCTCAAAAATTACCTTGATACATAATAAGACTTTATATGGGATACAAATCTTCTGGTTGGGGTTATAAATGTAGGATAAAACCAGAGACCTCAGAATGGAATACTTGGAAGTCTTTCGAAGTGAATGATGTCATTTTAAAGTAGGTTAATGATTGATATATCAAAATACAAGCTTGAAGTGGGGGTGCCTGAAATTGAGTTAGGTATCTTGTCAGTTGTGGTAAAAATAAGAAGGGGGTTCCCCATATACGAAACAAGTGCCTGTGGTATCAACAGATCAATAATCAGTCAAGTACCACATAGAACCCAGTCTTTTAAAAACTGACATTCAGCCTTCTCTTACTTGTCATTCAGAAACTAGTATTAGAAGTCTAAACACCTGCTAACTGAAGAGTTCTAATTCCATGATAGGTTTAGACAAGTGATCTGCAGTTTGATATAAAATTGAATGAATGAAAATTTATGTACAGTAAATGATATCATTGAAATAGATAGAAGTATTATTACTAAATGTTGTGTTAGACCAACTAGATAAGGCAGTTGAATATATTATTTGCATGTATTTTCCCATTGTAAGTAAAAACAAAAGTGATTTCTGTACACTAATATTTCATTGTCTTTGAACATTTTTCCTGGAGAAGTATGGCAGGTACCTTATGTTGAAAATGAACTACATAAAATAAACACAAACACCTTTATCTAAAGCAATTTTCTTGGACAGTCCAGCGCAATCTCTTGATTGAGCTATATAGCTTGAATAAGTTATGTAGCTTTATTAAGACATTCAAAATAGCTTGTTAAAGCATTTTTTAAACAAATATGTTTTTCATAAGAAATAGGCAAAATGTTGCAAGTTTTGACTACTCGTATTTGTACTATAAACTATTAAAAAAGCAATATAAATCAAATATTGTTTAAACATTGCTGCTTTTGAACACTGAAAAGCAAAAGATGTACATGTATATTTCCATTGTCTTGTTAACCATGTATACCACCCTCTGGCATGGATAAGGCCAGAAAAAATAAATTTTTAGATGATTATATCACTACAGGATATATATTAAATCTGTTAGAACTGTTTAGTAAAGGCTAAATTAGACACCTTATGTCAAGAACTAAAATAAGGACAGTAGAAATCTGTGATGTTTTCAAACAAAACACAAGTATTTCTTGGTCAAATAAAAAAGTATATATTTAGAAAAAGGCAGTGAGAAGTGGTGAATAACATGTAAAGCAACAGCATGTACAAAGTATTTGGATCCGTGCCCATTTTCAAACAAGCAGTTAATAGTATATGTGGCATGTACAAACATTCTCATAAAATCATTATTACAATTTGATAAATATTTTCTATAAAAGAATCTTCTGTATACATTTTTACGAATAAGCAATCAAATCTATCCATATTAGCATTTACAATGTGAAAATTTTGTATATGGAAATCGTTTAAAATCCTTGAAGATGTTTACAGTAATAAAAAAAAAACTGCCCACCTGTCCCAAGTTTTAAGCAAATTAGGATGAGAATCTAAACTTGAAATTAATGTGACCTAAGTATTATTACTTCAAATTTCACAATGTGCTTAATTATTACCAAGCAATTATCCTTTTGTCTAGAATTGACCTCCTGTATAATTTCATTCAAGAAATAAATGTGTAGTCACAAATGCTGTATATAGCCTCAAAACTTTTAGAACTTTGAATACAAAGTCTTACAAGGAGACACAATTTGATGGGTTAATTGTATTGTTTTCAGAACAGTTCAAAGTTGAAAACTCTCACTGCATCATAGTAGGACTTTTTTAACATGTCGAAAAATTGCACATTTAAGAAAAAAAGTACATGTATAATAAAATAGCTAAATCAAGCTATTTTGAATAGCTAAATCAAGCTATATAGCTAATTCAAGCTATATAGCTAAATCAAGAGATTGTGCTGGAGCTAATAGAGAAGACTATGGCCTGACAAGGTTCTCAGTTCCATCTATGTTGTAATAAAAATATAACTTACAATAGAATATTGTCTAGATTTGTTGCCTAATGTTACTTTTACGAAGAGCTCTGTCACCTCTATGTTCATGCAATTTTCACTGTATAATGAATTAAAAGTTTGACTGTCCACTGGTAAATATTAAACATTTATTGCCATTAGTTGACAAATGGGATCAAATAAAATCACCTAAATCTTTGAAAAAGCATTTACTTATAAAGAAAGACTTCATGCATAGGGAATGAAAATCACTTCACTGTTAAGCATCAGTTCATTATAGTATGTGCACTATATGCATGTTTTACTGTACTTATAAAGCAAGACTTCATGCAAGTTATTTTAGGCTTAATTTTGTTGTAGCTCACGAGAATGTCAGGCCAAAGACTGGCCAGTGCACAGAACAATGTGTTCCGTCACAGGAGAAAACTCAACAACTGGCAAGAAATGGACAGAGAATTCAGTGAGTGTGAAGTTTACAACTGACGATGGTTCTATAATTGAACAAAATCAAACTCTGTCAGGTAATGCCACTAGTCTCTCAGATACACACTGTTAGTACATATATAGGTTTTATTTGAAATATTTTTGGAGTTATCCATCTTGGTGAGGTATGATGACTGTATATAAGGAATAACTGTCTAGTTTTTGGTTTTATGATGTGATCAATCAGTTTTTTTGCATGATATTTTGTGCCTTTATCATCATAAAACCAAAAAAACAGACAGTTTTTTGCTCACCTGAGCTGAAAGCTCAAATGAGCTTTTCTGTTCACCTGTTGTCTGTTGTCTGCCCGTCAGTCTGTCCATCCATTTATTTGTAAACTTCTCACATTTTCAACTTCTTCTCAAGAACCACTGGGCCAATTTTAAGTAAAATTAATACAAAGCATTCTTGGATAAAGGGGAGTTAAAATTGTTAAAATAAAGGGCCAAGCCTCCTTCCAAGGGGAGATAATCAAGAAAAGACAAAAATAGGGTGGGGTCATTAAAAAATCTTCTTCTCAAGAACCATTGGGCCAGAAAAACTGAAACTTATCACCTGCATATGGGGTTTTTGTCTTTCAGTTGATTTGATATGCAAGAGCATGCTCTATGTATGAACAATTTCTAAAATGAGACAAGCTATTGACGAACAAGTTGATGAAACAAGTATATCAACAGTCTTGTTTAATGTCATCATTTCGCAAGTTCTATGGTCTATACAATGACCTTGTCAGCAAATATAATCTATCTTAAGTCAAACGCTGACTGATGGTTTTCATACTAATTGTTAGGCCATTATTTACACTCTGAATTGACTAGATTTTTCTGTTTTTCCCAATCATGACAAGGAGCACACAACGGGTGTGACCTGTTGGCAGGGGATGCTCACTCCTCCATGGCACCTGATTCCTCCTCTGATGTTTTAGAGGTCTGTGTTTGCTCTGCTCCTGATTTGTATTGTTTGAATGGACTTTTGAACTTAAATACTTTCGTTATCTCCATATTTCATCTGTTGTGTCTTTAATGATATGCATGAGAAATCATTTGGAGATTGCATAAGTGACTGAAAGTTGTATTCATGGAATAAGACTGAGTGATATTATACTCTTGATTTTCATGCGATTTTTTGTGCATCTTTGGTGATGGGGGAGCCGTGCCAAAATGGCTAGTTTTAGTTGACAATTTTTGCACCCATACAAGAGTTATGCCCCTGAAATGTAAAATTTAGATTATTCTGATGAATTTTGCAGTTTTGACTACCGGAAAATGAAATTTCTTTAAAGCAATGGAAATTGTATAAATGTAATGACAAAATCAAATGGTATAAGAAGGTCTTCTTGGCTTCCAAATTTCATTAATCTTTGAACCCAAATGTTGGGAGTTATAGCCCCTAAAATATAGATTTGTCATTAGTGTAGCTTTTGGCTATGTTTGAAAATTATATGATAGATGAAAATTGTAAAAACAGAAATGGCTGACTAGACAAAATCTATGTATTTAGCAATTCTATAACTTTTCCATCATTTGGTTCTTAGTCCAGACAAGTACTGGATTTTTTTTTAATTGGCTATAGCCAGGTGAGTGATTCTGGCTCCTGAAAGCCTCTTGTTACTCATTATAATATATCTTTAATACATGTATACCAGAACTTTCACAAACAGATGTTTTTTTAGAAATGAATTAAGCAAAGGATCAACACTGGAACAGTATCGTTCTGACTGGAAATCGAAGCATCATCTATCTTTATTCAATGGCATCTTCACTAGCCAAGAGTTTCTGATCTGCTACTCTCCTCATAAACTCTTGTCCTAATGCATGGTACTGTCAAAAGTTGGGGTTGTTTATGTCACATGATCTCAAATTTTACCACATATGCAAAGATTACGTCATTGATAGAAATGAAAAGCATATTTAAAAATAAAAATATGTAAAGAATAACTAACAAGCAGGTATTGAGCGATGATTTTTTTGTTAAGTAGGGTACAAATCTATATCTGCAACATAGATTCTTGATCAGATTATGTTCACATCTGCTTAAAGTTGAATGACACATTGCTATTCATAGAATGGCATCTTTTACAGAACATTGTTTACTTGTACTTTTCATTCCCGAGACTAAAGAGTGAAGATTCTTATATATCCCGAACGGAAAAATCGTCATTTACAAAAGCATTTGCTGATTGGTCAAATGATATCAATTGACTCCAATCACAATTTCAGGAAAAAATTCCAACTTTTGATAGCACTATAGGCCAAGGGTTTGTTGGGAGAGTAGCGGATCAGAAACCCTTGGCTAATGAAGATGACTCAACGGGTAAAATTCACCTTATGAGATAAAAGCAATTATAGTGAGCATACAATTAAAAGCACCAGAAAAAGAAACTAAATGGGTTCAATCAAAATACATGTGTATGATATATATAACTGTAAATATGGAGAGGTACATGTATAAGTGATAAGAAATAATATAATACTTGAAGTGTCTTCAATCTTTTTAATTAACAGCAGAAGATGATGGTAACAGTAGTTACTCACCTGTAATAGACTTCAAGAAGTATGCTAACAATAAGGAGCCAGCCACCTCTAACAAAGTGAATCAAGATAGTTCAATAAAGGGAACGTTTTACATAGAAAATGACAGAATATACCGGAATTTTCCTGTATTAGACAAAAGCCAAGAATACACAGACATAGTGGTTAAAGCCAACAGACAGAAACAGATTATTGGTATTCAGAAGAGCTGGGATGGAGGTGGAATTTATCGTGTTCTCTCACACTGGTTACAGATTCCCCTGGATAAACTGAAAGTCATCCACAAAGGAAAAATTCTAAAAGCAGACAATATAAGAGAATGTGTTCAGAAGAAGGCCATTTTTCAAGTGTTTGGTGAAAAGGCAGAAGACTCCAGTGGCGTTGATGACAGAGATATTGAACTTATGATGAAGCAACTGAAAGTCAGTAGAAATGAAGCCATACTGGCCCTGAAAGAACATGGGGATGTTGTTGATGCCATTCTGGGAGCTGGTCAGAAATAATTTTGATTCATGTTTAAATTTGTGTATATTGTTACTTTACCAGTCTGGATCTTTGGATTATATATGTACCATTTTTATATCAATTGACTTTTATATGAAGAAATTTGTTGCATTGGGCTTTTCCTAATACTGGGTAATAGTTTACAATAGAGCAGTAACTCTGTTTTTCAGTGTGCAAAACATGCACAAAATTAGCAAAACATGCAGGGCTGATTGCTTATAAGTTATCAGCCCTCCCAAAGACATACCAGAAAATAATGGCCTTTTATCAAAAATCATTTTTATTACATTTGTAAAACCATTTAGTTGTTATGTCAACTGCCTTGTGGCTGGCAAAGTTGATCGAAAGATATCTCAGCTTTTCTGTGACTAGGACTCAATCAGCATATAAATTTGATCCCGATTATATAGACTGGTGAGTTTTTATGCTTTGCTATCAGTACAATAAGTGAATTCGAGGCAATACAATTTATCAAAGTAAATTTTAACTAGTAGTAATTTTAATATGTCCAGTCAGGCATCCATACAAGCAATTTGTTCACCTGCAGCTAAATTTACACATTTTAAGTGGTTGATTGTTTCAAACACTGTATTTCTTTTTATTGGGTTTCAGTTTAAAGTGCTTTGTTACTATACTACATGCTTTCTAATATGTGTATATGTTGCTTTCTACTGAATATTTTCAAAATAAAAAAATCCTGCTCTTCATTTTAATGTGAATGCAGGTTGTTTCATCCCCAGCCCTCCCTCTGATGTTGATCTTTGCAGTGGCAGATCCAGGAATCTTGAAAATGGGGGGGGGGGGGGGACCAGTTTGGGTTCAGAGTAGGGGCCAACGGCCACATCAATGAAAATTGATATATTAAATCTTAATAATATGTATAATTTGGGACACAAAAGTGGGAGGGGGCCCAGGCCCCCTGGGCCCCCCTCTAAATCTGCCAGTGCTTTGAAGGCATGACTTGTGTCAAGATCATTATTACATTAAAGGAATGGCAATGTAAGCTAAACCAGAGAAGCAACAAAAATGGTGTGTGCACAATTATTGCCTTTGCATGTGAATTTTGTGGCATGGGATGCAATGAAAATTGCATGAAATAACTATATGTGTCTTGCAGGGATAGTTGAAGTATTCTAAGCTTACATGTATGAGGAGAAATTTTAATGTTTAACTTATTCAGTGTACATATCTATCATCGTTACATGTTATATAAATGTTACCAATATAACCAAAGGGAATTTTTTTTTAAGAATACAATTTGATACTTGGATGACTCAGAAGTTTACAGGGGGAAAAAAAAACTTGTGCATCATGTATTTTCAGATACATTTGTCAAAAAGCTATGATTATTTTAAGATTTCATTGTGACAGTCATTGAAATTCTTGAATGTACAGAATTTTGAAACCAAGAATATTAGATGCTTATACTTCATACAAGCATAGACCTAAAGCAGTTGTCTACGACTCAGTTCTCTTCAAATGTATCTTGTTTCAATTGTAATTTTGAAATGTTTTCCTTTTAATTTTTTGGCTGTTTTGTTAGTGTTGCATAAAGATTTTAAGTTTTAATTGTTCTTGGAAAAATATGAATCAGTTAAGGTATTACATCATTTGGTTGGTGAAGTAAAGTTTTTATCACTTTTGTAGCAATTAATGATGGGAAAAAAATCATTATCTAGGCTGTGATTATTTCATTTAATTAAAGTTCCCAAAGTAATTATTCTTTCTGGGATTTTTTTTCAGTGTAACATTTTCTGGGATTTTCTCTCCAAGTGACAGTCCCTTACTACTTGTAAAATGCTGGAGCTAATAGTGAACATTTTCGGGATCTCAGACATCCGACAGTTGACTTCAGACAGCGGACTTTTCACGTAAAGGAGCGTGTCGAAAAGTGAATGATATAAATAATTTTTGTAGTCTTGATTAATTGTACTCGATAATCACATTTCGTTCTTATTTGTATGATTAACACTACTCTATACGCACGTGGTATTGGGGGGGGGGGGTGTCTCCCCCAACTTTTCCTAAAATAATGATTTGCCCCAAGAGATTGTTTAATTGTTTAATTCCAGCTGCACCATTTTTCCAACAACAAATAAAAAGCAGAAATCTCCAAGAACTAAGAAAATGTACAGGAATTGTATTTTGATATAGGTACGTTAATGAGCGCATGATCTTTTAATAAGAAAAAATCTGTCAAAGTAAGTTATGGCGTCACTAACTATAAAATATATTATATGATAAATTTTGTTTAAGGAATTGTTAGTGGACATACAACATTTAATTTAAAGAAAAAAAGTACTTTCTCGGGAAATAAATAAATTTGGACAATAAAACATCGGTGTCTTGAACGTAAATAACATATCACATACAGCTTATTCCGTACTCCACATATCAGGCGCAGATCCAGATATTGTAAATGGGGCACAAGCACTGGGCTTTGACATATAACTACTGATTTAAAACTTTAATTCATAAACATGTTACCCCTAAAAAAATAAAATTACTGAAAATTGCATTCTTGTTGGAATAGCCGCGCAAAGTGTGATGTTAGTCCGGATACCTGTTTGGGATCTGAGGCCACCTGCTTGAGGTTTCTACTGGGTACAGGTAAAATTTGAATTTGACGCCTTGCTGGGGGTCCAGGAAGTTTCTTAATTCTTGGATCTTGAAAGACAGGCTTTTTAATATAAATGTATAAATATTATTGCATCGATGTATTTTAATAAAGACTTTGTAATTACATCATGGCCATGATAAAAATACAATTTGAATTATCGAGGTAATAACATGAAACTTTTATTTCCATATAAATGTTTATACATACACAAATTCATATTCAACCAAGAAATGGCTTAATTAATGTGCTAAACATAATTCAGAATTTTTGCACGCACATGTGTTATCTATATCAAGTATTTTATCTTTAAAAAATGGAGAGGGAATCTTTCTTAATTGTTTACTTTCATTAAATTTTGAGTTCTTAAAATCACTCAATAAAGTCAGATTAGCAATGTACTTTTGGATTTTTCAAATCAAACTTTGCAAATTTTAATTCCTCATTGTGACTTTTTTTCCAAAATTATTTTTTTTTTCATATCCGATTTATTGTTAAAAATAATCATTAGTTTCTATATTATCTTAACCGAGCTGATGTGGTTAATGTGTTGAAATAAAAAAAATCGGTTTCCTATTTCTTGTGCAATCAAGAGATATCGAAAATTTTAAATGACTTTATTGTGCTGAAGAAGATCAATCAAAAATCAAGTTTTATTATTGTCTGTTGCATCTTAAAATTCCAATAATATGTATACAATCACAACTCTCTTTTTTCACCCCTTCTTATATATTTTTTTTCTTTACAATCCTCATTTATTATTTTTTATTTCTTCCAAAATCAAAGGAAGGGGGGTTGCATTTCCCGTTACCCATCTGAATCCGCCATTACATATAATGTATATAGGATCTCCTATGATTTGTAGTTGGATATGATTTTTATCCAACGAGTTGTGTGTTTTTTATCCCCGAGCCTTGGCGACGGGATAAAACACACAACGAGTTGGATAAAAGTCATATCCAACTACAAATCATGAGAGATTCTTTTTATCCCATGTTTAATACTTCAAAACCAATGTTTTACACTTTTTTATATAGGACTCCACTTTATTTTACTTCATCGCGCTAACGCAAAAACCATTGTGACGTCACAACTGTGGATTATGAAAAAATTATCCAATGAGTCATATCCACGGGATAAAGGGGTAAACATGGGATAAAAAGATATACATATTTAATTATGATCAATAAATGTGGTAGTTTAATTGTTTGCAAAATGTGCTAAGAACGAACTATTTTTAATCTCTACAATTCTGACCTATTTAATTGCTTTCAATTTATTCGTTGTAATAGATGTCAGAGATAATGAAAGAAAATTCTCAGGTAAATGTTAAAACGTATTTCTATACGCTCCCCGTAAGTTGTCTTTTGTTCGAAAGTCCGCTGTCCGTAGTGCGATGTCAGGTGTCTGAGATTCCGAAAATGTTCAATTAAGAGCCATTCTCTGTAATGACTTGAACTTTTATATAGGAGCTGTGGCACGCATAGTCTCAGAATTTCTTCAAACTCTCTATGATAAAAGTCTTTGATACCGTAATCTCAAATCAGGCAAAAATTGGTTGCTACATGTCATGGTTACCATAGCAACATATCCTAAAGTTTGGAAAATGGCAATTTTCAACATGTTCAGAGTCCCACAGTTAACATCTGCAGCAAAGCAAACAAGTGGCAATGACTGTTTCTGAAAGGTGAAGGCCTGATGTCTTAAATGCATGATAAACATGTTTGGTAAATCAGCTATTACATATGTTACTATGGAAACAAAGTATTTTAAAGTAATAATTTTGTTCATTTAATTTTATGAAGTCATACACTTTAGAATAAAAACAATTATAGGTTGAAATGCAAGCAAATAATAGACAAAAGATTCTTGTAACATATACCAAGGATGAAATATGATATTTCTTATAGGCTGGTAATGGTTGCCATGGTTTTAATACCACGAAGGGATTTTAAATTTACTCTCTTAGTGTTTTAGTCTTATCCTATCTTTTGAAAAAGCATATTTCTATATAACTAATGATCAATTTTTAAAGGTGTTGGTCTGACCCTAATTTTCACATTTCAGAAACTTCAAATTCAATTCTTTAAATAGAGTGTTGCTATGGAAATTAGCCAAAGAAATATGCATAAAAATCTGAAAAATATTCTGTTTCCTTGGATACGTACCCTTGTATTTAGATTCCCAAAACTTTTATGATTCATCATTGATATTTATGAACAACTAACCTGACTTTCAATTTTGACTACCAAAGGATGTATATGTGCCAGTCATGAGTTTTATTGTTTTTTCTCAAGATAGTAGCATTAACCCAATCTTAGCAACAGATTTTGCATGGTTACACTGTGTTACCATGGCAACCATGAAAGTTATTTTTAGAATAATATTCCCAATACCTAATTACTTACGGTCAAATATTTTTATTGTTTTTCTTAGGTTGTTGATTGAGTTTGATCATGTAACATCTGTGGCCCCATGGGTCAGTGGTTCTGGTGGGCGGGGGTCTGTATTGATTATAAAGGTTCATGTATAGTGAAGATTCATTATTTCTTTGAAAATATTTTTTTGCTCCTGGGTATATAGCAAACAAGCTAACCAAAAAGTTATAATGAGCAAGAGTGTCTCTTCTTCCAAAATTTTGCATTTCATGGTCCTTGGGTCAGGGATTCTTGTGTTAAGGTAAGGCTGTGTTGAATGTGTAGAATAGTGTATTATTTATTTGGAAATCTTTTGCTCTGCTCCTGAGCATCTAAGAGGCAAACAGAGTACAATGATGTTATAAACGAAATTCTGGATCACTTTGTCAAGGGGAGGGCTCTATTAATTTGTTTTCTACTGATTGGGGTTATTCACCTATAATAATAAATACTTTTAAATAATTTAATTGAAATGTCAAAGGAATAAAAGATTTATACAAGAGTTTTTATAATATATAACACAAACTACATATACTATTATAGTTTTTGATGGTCAGGTAGACTAACTTGTAAATAATGGATAAATAAAAATGAGACAAATATACTTCATCTTTGTGCATTAAAAGTTCTTCAAAAGCCAAGATGCCAATGTAAGAGGGAATGTGATGGGTTGACTTATAGTGCTTTAGTTTGTTTAGTTAAGGATACACCAAAGGCTTTTTTTCAAGATTTTCAACAATTTTGAGATTTTTGGCTAAGAAAAAGAAGTTAATCACTGCTTTATAATGCATGTAAAATTCTTAGTAATTATGAAATGGTTTTCTAATTATTTAACAATAATGAAACATAAACACTACCACATGTGAATGTTCCATTCTTGGAGGATCTGTGACTGTCTGGTCATGAAGGATGCAATTAATCACAATGGCCACTTGGGGAATTCTGCACTAGCCAGACAGAGGTTATCAGTAATTAAACTACAGGGACTCTAGATTTAGAGAAGGAGATCCAACAGATCACTGATGACCATAAAATAGGAGGTGGAGCTTAACTCTTGCCATTTTTCCGGGAAATCTTTCTGATTCCGGAAAATACTTAATTAAAATCATCTAAACTCAGAAAAGAACCTCCCATTCTTGTGAATATGCATAGGAAATATGGCTAAGTGACAGGTATCCAAAGCTGAATCTAAAAGGTGTCATATATTCCTAGCTTTGGTAGATTTTGTTGTGTAATGGGTTTTTGCCCTCTGCTGTGAAGTAAGATCAGACAGTTCCTGGTATTATTTCAAAGGATTCAGCTCCCTTATTTATTGACCAATTTCTCTGAAAATTGGATGGGTTGTTTCACAAATGTGTGTTCACAAAACCATCTCTCAGATTTTTGATATCTAGCTTAGTTTTGGAATTATTGAGGGAAATGTTTAATTAGGCTAATAAATAGGTTAACATTGAAGTGCAAAAGAATGTAACTTTTGAATTAATTTAGAAGATTTATCAAAAATCTGAGATACAGTTTTTAAGTTCAATCTTTAATCTACCTTGAGGCAAAATGACCACTTTGAGGGGTTAAATACAAAAAAGTTGATTTTTAAAATATTTATGCACTAAAATTTACGCTAATATTTAAATAATTTTTTAAAAAGTTATTAATTAAAGTTTAAATTAGGATAACTAAATAGTAAATTTAACAAGCTTTCAAATGATATATACTTTTATTATGTTATCTTTGATAATGAAAGAATTGAATGCAAATTAAATTCTGGTACTTGAAAACCTTTGGTGTATCCTCAACAAGATGATAGTGACAAATGGAGCAAGTACAGGCAAGTAAATAAATTTAGTTTAAGGACACTCTCTACACTGCACCCTAATTTCAGTGTACTTTCATGTAGTTAGACTGACCCACCTTTTGACATAAAATAGAATAAATTGTAATCTGTGCTGTATGACATTTAAAATGAATCCATGTATTCTAAACATTATGTTAGACCAAGATAGTGTAGTTGAAAACTTTATTTGCATATATTTTCTCCATTTGAATAAGCAAAAGCAATTTTTTTTTGTCATTACTTCACAGTCTTTGAAGATTTTTCCTGGATAAAAAAAGGCACTCCCTACATTAGAAATGAATTAGTTTATTTCAAAATAGCCTCCTTTACACTATATAATTTTCTCAAAGTCCAAAAATTATTTATAATCAGTCAATAGTGGGTCCTTAAGATTTATTACAGAGTACTAGATCAATTATTTTATTGATCCCTATCATCCTATTTCTCATGGTTTTGGTCAATATATCTTCATTTATCAGTTTATTTTGTGTTATTGATAGAAGTGATAATTCTATGGATCATTTACAGTGTTGTATCATACTCAGGTGACTGCTAAGGCATCTGGGCCTCGTATTGAAATATCAATCTATGGATTTTACTAAATGTTTAGTTTTACACTGTAAACAGACGAGTGTTTTAAATGCAAACTTGAAATTAAACAGCTAGGTTTCGTAAGTTGCAAATAGACAACTGATGCATCATTTGAATACTGTAACAAATAAAAAACCAAATTAACAAACTCTGATATATATATTTTTAATTTGTTGAAAAGAATAAGTGACTAAATGTTAACAAATCTGAAAGACCATTTATCAGAATTACAGAAATGCCCCACTGTGGAGTAGGGAGTTGATAAGTCTTCAATGAATACAAAATTTCTGCTCAGGCTTCATCTCCATTAACATTCTTTAGCCCTTGGTAGGAAAATAATCTGGACACAAAGTGAATGAAGCAAAATTAAAGCACATTGAGTAAAAAAAAACTAAATATTATACAAAATATGCTTAGACTTTATATTTGCAAACTTTGGAATTTAATCTACCTGAACTTATTACCTTTGGCCTGACAACCCAGTTTATTTTAAGCATGCACCACATCTAATAATTTAAATAAGAAAAAAATAAATTCAAGTGCTCAAATTTTGATTTTTCATTTTACTTATAAAAATTAGCTATGTAACCTTTAATATTCAGACATGATATTAAATTACTGCAGTCACTTACAGATATGCTTAGATTATGCATACGGAATTAACAGTTCATAATTTATTTTTTTATGAAAAAAATTAAAATAAAAATACTGAACCATACTGAATCACAAACATATTCCAACAAGCACTTCCAACAATATGGCCCTTTTAATATATACAATGGTTATCACAGTCAACATTTCAGAAACAACAAATAATCAAAAACTGACACTAAAATATAAAAAAAAAAAGATAATCACCCACACTGTAAACATCTCTGATCATAAACATGATTAAAACTTGTGATGCATTTTCATATGATACCTTGTTGTTATAACTGGTATTTTCTATCCTTGCATAAGTGTTAAACATATTCTGACTAAAAACAGTTACCACATCTAAAGAATTAACCAATAGCATTATGTTCTAGAATTTTTTGAGGGGTCTAGTTTGAGAACTTTGTGTGTGAAATGTCATCTTATTGCACTGTAAGAGGAGGAAGGGGATTTCTCTACTCAGCTAATATCTTACATTCTTGGATATAATACTTAAATTACATGTCTATATATGTGCATAAATATATCTGATTAAAATACAATTATTAATTTCTACCTAAACTGTGCACATAGTCCTCTCTGTCATCTGCTTGCTACTTTTATATCACATTTTTCTTCCTGATAAGGATCAAATATTTCTTGTCTTTCCCTATAATCCTAAAAATGGTTCTCATGCCTAAACAATAATTTGATTATGCCATAGTAATGTTGTTAACTTTGCTATGGTAAAGAAGCTGCATTTCTTGTTATTGTTAAGACTATCACTGCATATATGCTTATATTTTATACTCTTAACTATGTTTAATTGTACCTTCTATTAGAAAGTGAAAGCTACTGTATTCTGAAAAAATTAAATGTTTGCACTCCTTTTATTTTTTTCCCTTTACAATTTCAACTGAGTTACTGTAAATAAACAAAGTTAATGAAGTTAAAATGACAAAAAAGTTTTTAGACCATAAGAAAAAGGTTTATTAGACCAGAAGTCTCTGACGAGACTGTAGCTCTACTGGGTTTTACTTCACAAAAGTAGTACTAATGGTACTTCACAAAAGTAGTACCAAGTTATATTGAAATCAGACTGAAACTGTAGGCTGAGTAGCATTTTGAAAGAATTTCACAGAAATTTCTATTTTTAGTAACTGTGGCAATGCTTCAACAAAATCAAAAAATACACAGAATTATGATCTTAATAAAGTCTACTTGTGTACCAGTTATTCAGAAATCGGACAGAAACTGTAGGAGAAGTAGCATTATGAACCGTTATGAAAGTTTCACTGGGATTTCTATTGTTAGTAACCATGGCAACACAATTCATCGAAATCAAAAAACTGATATATAAAATTATTTACCTTAGTGTAGTCTACTCATTTACCAAGATATTTTGCAATTGGACTGAAACTGTAAGAGGAGTATCATTTTAAATTAATTTCACAAAAAAACTTCTATTTTTAGTAACCATGGCAACACCGCTCATCGAAATAAAAAACCAATATACAGAATTAAGTATGACGGACACCTTACTATCACATAAGCTCTGATTCTGGTCTCTGACCAGTAGAGCTAAAAATATGGTGGAATTTATTCTATTTTACAATTATATTACCTGATATTTTTTTACACACATAATTAAGCAGAATTTTTCGCAATAAAATGTTTAACAATCATAGAAATTGTTACATTTAAACATTGTTATATCTAAATAAAGAAATAAATATTTATGTCTAAAATTAAGTGTTTTTATGTTTTCATTTAATTTCAAATAAAACAATTGGAAAATATTTGTACGTTTTCAATGCCAGCATTACATTCTACTGAAATGTAGAAGTAAAATTTACTGAAAAATAAATAGTCTGACATAGTTTAGAACCATTTTACAATTTCAAAGGTACCCCCCCCCCCCCCCCCAACTCAATTTAAGACAAGACTACTTATTATATTCTTCTCTTATCAACAGTAATAAAAATATATTTTTACATTTATATGAATTCAGGAAATGCAGTTATTTCAAGAAGGAATAATGAAACATCAATTTAATTTCAATTAATGAAACGCTAGACAAAAAATTTCAGATCCAATGAACACGTTGAAAAATATTTGTGCACACAAACACATAGAAATACATAAGATTGTTGGTCAAGATAATTTTTAAGCACAAAGAAAACAATGACATATTACAGCACTATAAATTATGCAATACATTTTTTTTTCTTTAGCTGCATGAGTTGGATGCAGAAAATGCAAGGTCAGGTCTACAATATGTTATCGTTATGGTGAATACTGGAAGCATCAGAGTTGATGTGGTCAGGTGATTGGGGTCTTGATATGTGTGAGGAAGTCATGTGACCAGCAGGAAGATGAAACTGGTTCTTTGGACTGGTTTTTCTGCCCTTCAGTGGCACAGCAGGAGTTGGGTAATGATACAACAAAATGGAGGTCAAAGAGGGGTAGTCATCATGTCTTCATTGAACAGGGTACATTTCTGTAATGGAAACAAGTATTTACTGTAATAAACTCCCCTCATAATCTCTTCAGTAATATCTTTTAAAAACTGCCATTAAATTTACAGTAATTCACTGAAAGTACTATTTATCAGACATTTAACAAAACATACAATTCTTCATGGCTTATAGAGATTTAATGGGCCTAAAACATAATAAATTGCAAGCAAATTGAGAAATACATTTTGAAATCAATTTAATTCTGTTCAACTTATTATAGCTGTTGGATTATTTCATACAACCTATTTACCAGCTGTATATTACACAATTTCTGTCCAAGTTTCTTTCTTGCCTTCTAGCCCACATCCATTAGGGCAACTTTAAAACTAAAAATTCATATTTAGCAAACTCTTTACTTACAGTAAATAATACCCAAAGTGTGTGGGAAAAATGTGGTACCCTTGAAGGTTTTTACAATGCTTAGATCTGTAGCTCTCAGGTATGTCCAAATTTTCCCAACCAGAGAGCTACACTTCTGCAGCTAAGGTGGAACCAAAGACAGGATCAAATATTCACATGGAACATATTGAGGGAAAAAAAATTCTCAAAAGCAGCATTGCAGCAATTTTACCTTTCTTATGCAAGCATTCAGTCTAGTGCAGTTCCATATGTTCAGTTTGTGACCCAGTGGGTCTACAGTGGGCTGAAGAAGTGATTAAAATTTGACATGGAAATTGTGTGGTAAATTAAAAAAGAAAAAAAAATTCAAAAATAGCAGGGTGACACTTTCCTATTAATGTGCAGATATTCACATATTGTGTAAATTCAAGTTTGTTTAAATTATGGACACTGGGATTAGAGTGGGGTTAAAATTGGGGAACAAATTTTACATAGTAAAAGTAGTGGGCTTTCAGTGTATTACTAACTTTTTTTTGATACAACCACATTGAATATGGTGAAAGATGACTGTATACTGCATAATATTTTGTTCTTCATGACATTTCACATATTAGTCAGCAGTGAGGACAGAAAAGCACAACATAAAAAGGTTAGTAAAGAAATGGATCTTATTTTGTGCAGACATGACATACCAGAATTCTACCCTAATGTCAATATGAAAGTAATATCCTATTAACTACACGTACTACATTATCAGAATGAGATGCTGTTATACATTCAATATGGCATGTTTGAACTATCTTTTAAAACCATAATTTTTCAAAAAATTTGATTTATTTCAGTTATGTGACCCTCAAGTATACCTATACATGTTATATACAGCAGAGATCTAGTATACCGGTACCTATATATATGCCCTTACAGAATTTATAAGTGTTTAACAAGCCACTTATAAGCAACTTATAAATCACCTATAAGTGTTGAAATTCACTTATAAGTGTACTATAAGTCAAAGTATGTATAAGTGAGGAACAGATTTCGTTTATACTTCACTTAATATAAGTGAAGATAAGCCACATATCAGTGAATATTTTACTTATTCTTCACTTTAAGTGAAAATCAGTATGGCATTAGTCAGAATAAGTGTGGACTTAGAATTTTTACATTATACAAGACTTCTCTTCAGTTGCATTGTGGGTATTCAAAGTTAACCAATCAGAAACTTTATCTCTACAGAGATAACAAGAATTTGAAATTAAGTTAGTGTCTGTGAAAGGATGTTGTTGGAGATTTCAATTTCTTTTTTTTTTTTTTTTTTTTTCTTTTTTTTTTGAGTATGCCTTCACATCAGGTACAACAAGTAGGTTCTTTTTACATCATTTTTTTATCTTAACTTGTAGGAATCATCAAGAACTACACACTACAGTGTTTGACGCTAAAGTTTAAAATCAACAAACTAAAACTGCAGAAATACCGATTATACAATTTTTAATTGAACAAATTTCAAATTCACACATCTAGATTTTTGAACACAATTACCCTACATAATTTTCGACATAGTATCATCAGTTAATGTATGTAAATGTATTAACAGTCATGTATATAACAATGAAAATTTGACATCAACTTTTGCTTTCTTAAATTACTCACTGGTAGTAAAAGTTTTCATTCGAGAACATTAAAATTTAAAATATGAAACCTGGTTAAGCAGTGTAAGCACTGCCACAAAGAACTTTCCTAATACTTGTAGCAGTGATGTATACTGGGTCAACATTATTGATTTGTGTAGTTGCCTCCAAAATTGTATTAATCTTTCATAGAAGAGATCTGTATTACTATACGGTCACAACTTTAATGGTTACATTTCAAAACTTAAAAACTGTGGATTTCAATTGAACTTCAGTTTATTTTTTTATCATTTCTAAGACCAAATGTAAAGGATAAATTGTTGATTATATTGACAACTTCCCAATTTCACTTTTGAAAAAAATTCAATTTTGACGATTTGGATACAAGTTTATTACATATGTTATCTAATCCTTAGAGGGAACCAGTGTATTAAGTTTGAAGTCTGTCACCAAATGGTTTTCAAAATATTGAGCAATCAGTATGTTCTTATATTCAATTTGACACTTGACCTTTGATCTTGTAACCTCAAAATCAATAAAGAATATATACTCCTAAAGGGGAACCAATGTACCAAGTTTGGTGTCTGCCAAGCAAACCAAATATGGGTCATCTAACTTTTTTTTTTTTGGATCTCCTATAGATACACATGCTGTCATTACATTCATACTTTATAACCTAGCATATGTGGGAAAGAAATTCCGAACAATATTTCAAAATCCTAATGTCAAAGCTACATCTAAATACATGTACCATGTTTGTCCTAAATACCATTACTACATGTATAAGCAAAGAAATATGCTTTAAATTTAAAGGAATTCCAGTATGCCATTGAGTTAGTGCACCAAAGCCGGGAACTTACAGAATTAAACAATAGTACCTCCAGTTGAAGTCTGTGGACTAAGGGCTGTATGCTGTGTCAGGGCCTACAAAAAAGGTCAGGTGATCAAGCAATTTGAATATGCATAATATGGGGTATGCAGATAGTAAATTCTGATTAACCACACCAAAGGGAAAAGATATTAGTGCTAATCAATACTATTATGGCAAGTAGTAGGAAACTGAACTAAACAAAAAGTGTGTAAACATCTACTTTTAAATCTCATGCAGGCCCGTAGAATGCCCCCCTCCCCCACTTTTTTCTGAGTATAGTATTTTGCTATAGTAAGTTTTCCTTTACTAGATGCTGGTTGCCCCCCCCCCCCCCCAACTTTTTGAATTCCAGGATTTGGACAGTAAATTAGCTTTTTTTTTTTTTTTGCTTGTCAGATAATTTTTTTTGGGCTTGCTTGTTAGAAAGTTGTTGTTGTTGCCCCCCCCCCCCCCCCACTTTTGAAACTGTTGCTATGGGCCTGTCATGGATTACTATAATAAGCTCTTAAAATTTACACTGTAAGTTAAGGTAATTATGTATTGCAATACTAAATATTTTTATCATGATCATTTTCTAAATGTTAATATAAAAGTAAATGTATTATAAAATATAGATGTATACTGCATGTAAAATGTATTATAAAATATACAATCTGAATGATGGACTCTTAGAGTGGATCATAAGATTTGATATTCACCAGAAAAATATTAATATTGATCGAAGCCGAGATCAATATTGATAATTTTCTGGTGAATATCAAACCATATTAACCAGCTAATCCACCTTAAGAGTCCATAATTGTATTATTTTGTAGTCTCACTCTGGTATTGAATAAATATGACAATGAAGGATGCATTGGGACACCATTTTCATTAAAGAACTTCAGTCTACAGCAGGAATATTAAAATGTGCAGTTTTCCTTTCGTAGTGTAAAATACATCATTTCTTATAAAAATAATTCAGTAATAGCCTTGAAAGAACAGATATGCAGCTGGTTCGGACCACAGCAGCCATTCTTTGCAAATTTATTTGAGGTGTTGTTTGTGTCGTCATAATTGGCATTGCACGTGCACTGACCATCCAGTAAATATGGCTTCAAATCTGGTGAATGTGTAGTTTTATGAACTGTTAGCAATTGCATAGATTATACAAGGACTATAAATAAACTAAATAATAAATGTATATGTATAAGTGTTATCCACATGAAATATCATGAATAAACATGTAGTTTTCAACTGCCTAGTACATAGTAAATTTATAAATTTATATACATGTAGGATTAACTGTTATTAATCTCTGTATTGACCATGTTGACATTGAATCCTAGCTCTGCAAATGTGTGCAGTGAATATTTATTTCTTAAAATCAACATGTAAAATACATCATTGGGAAGATCAAGGTAAAAACATGTTCTACCACAGTTATTGACAAGATCAAAGAAATGCCACGGACATTATTCTCCAATAAATCATGAAGTCATCAAAAAATTATCAGATCAGAAACACATGTCAAACCTGTACAGTTGAAATAAATATTTCACTGTAGAATTTAGTACTTATTTAGACCATATAGATGTGTCATCTTACGTAGTCTAAACAGTGTGTACTGCCTGAAAAGCTGATAAATATCCATTTTCATAGCCAAGTGGGGTTGTTCCACGGACCTCCCCACAACATTTACACTCCGTGATTTTACAGATAAAGCAATGAAATAGACAATTGATTTTGTTATTTTACATTCATAAAAATTAATCAATATATGTTTCAAACAAATTTATAATAATTAAAAGATATTTTTAATCCAACGAAAGCTAAAATCGTCTGTATTTATGCAATCAATACACAAGTAAACAAACAAATTGACACTCTGGTGTTAAATGGAACAGCGAAATCGCGACATGTTGACCTCATTCGTTTCACTACAGAGGAAGCGATCAGCCGTATTTTAGAGCTGTTAGTAGAATAGAAATAAAATCCTTGTTGTCGTGAATGATGCAGGATAACCTCCGAGGTCAAGAAATGTTGTCTGAAATATAAAAGCCGAGGCGTTAGCAGAGGCTTTTATATTTCAGACAACATTTCGAGACCGAGGAGGTTATCCTGCAACATTCACGATAACACGGACTTTATTTCTTAAGTAATCAAAGGTTACAAAGCTCACCTCAAAGAATGTTATCCACAAGTAAGGTGAATCTCACATCAATTGTTTTTCTAGTTTGTGTGCATCCTTAGATCAATATCCATGCATGTTTGATCTAAAGAGGACAGTTACTTGGGAATGGACCTGCTTCAAAAACATTCACCTGTTCGCTCATCCATACGATGTAGGTTAGTTCAAACATCCAAAGCAAGTTTTGTAATGTCCATCCCTTGTTGCATCATCTATGCAAGCATCATCATAACAGGCCATATAGTTATAGAACTACTCCAAAAACAATACCCTGGTCAGTCATTTGGAAAATATAGGTCAGTCACAGCTTCTGAAGCAGGTTAGGTAGTGTGCATCCCTAGATGCATCATCCTTGCAAGTTTGGTTCAGGTAGGTCTTTAAGTTACTTGGGAATGGACCTGCTCCAAAAATTTTATTCTGACTTTTTCACAGAATTACAAGAGAAACTGCCTGCCCAATACGTATTTGGGGTTATTTTTTGTTACAAAATATTCTTTAATATTGGTATGTACTGATATATCTATACATGTATATTGAAACAGCCTCTGGAAATGTAGGTCAGATCCAGCATCTCAAGCAAGTCTGGTAGAGTTTATCCCTATATGATTATCCATGCAGGTGTGGTTTTGGTAGGTCTTTTAGTTCCTACGGAATGGACCTGCTCAAAAAATGTAAAACCTGGTCAATCATTTGGAAAATGTAGGTCAGTTCCAGCATTTGAAGTAGATTAGTTCGTGTCCATCCCTAGAAGCATGATCCAAGCAAGTTCAGTCCAGGTAGGGCTTGTAGTTAGGTGTGAAAGGACCTGCTCCAAAAATTGTAACCTGGTCACTTAGTCATTCTTGAGAAGAAGATTTTTTTAATGACCCCAACCTATTTTTGTCTTTTCTTGATTATCTCCCCTTGGAAGGGGGCTTGGCCATTCATTTTAACAATTTAAACTCCCTTTTACCCAAAGATGCTTTGTACCAAGTTTGGTTAAAATTGGCCCAGTGGTTCTTGAGAAGAAGTTGAAAATGTGAAAAGTTTACAGACGGACGGACAACAGGTGATCAGAAAAGCTAACTTGAGCTTTCAGCTCAGGTGAGCTAAAATGGACAAAGTTGATAAATTCTCACCAAATAATGTATCAGTGTATTAGCTTACATAAACAATATCTGGAATAGATTCTTTGAAATGGAACTAAACACATATGTTTGAGAAAAATGAGGTCAGTCAAAGTGTGACGGTAGGACAGATGGAAGGACAGAGGGACAGAAGATGGAATCGACAAATACTATATTCCCTGGCCATATTCATGGTGGGGCATAACAAAAATGACAAGTATTTTAAATATGAATATCAGTTCCATGTCTTTTTATGCTCTAGAACAATGATTATTATTAGTTTCTTATTCAGACTTAACAATTATTACAGCCTTTCTAAGACATTTTCCACTGATATCAAGTGTACCCAATCATGGTAGTATTCATTATTATTACAGGTACATTTTTGTGAATACCATTTCTGTTGGACATTGTAGTTTGTACTAACTTGCTATATGTAATCTCTATCTCTAAAAATTCTAACTAGCCAAAATCATAATGTGACTACAAGGATACAAACACCATCACCCCTACAGAACTCCAGCCACTCACCACTTTTCCAGGACGTGCCCAGGTATTTACTATTCCTTCCTGGCAGGCCGTTACAATGCATTCCTCTCGGAAAGCTAATTCAGTTAATCGTTCACTAGAGATTTTCTTACACACTAAAGGTTCGAGTAATGGAACTTCTTCTAAGCGAGGACAAGAGCATGTTCCTAACACTTTAATTGATTCGTCTACATGTTTCACATGATTTGACTTAAGCACATTGTTTTTCTCACTAGATTTACTAGATAAGCTAAAATTTCTCTTGTGTTCTTTCTTTTCTGTAATTTCCTTTCTCTCCCCTAATGAAAGGGTTGCAAACCGATGTGTTGAATTAGCCATCACAGAATTTCCAACTGGATGTGCATTGCCGTCCATAGAAACATCATTGCCCACTAGTGAGTTTGTTTTTTGGACACTGTTACAACGAGGTAAGGTTGCTGACACAGAATTTGGATTGGATATTAGTATGCTGGTCCTTGTTCTTGTATTAACTGCTTGTCGGATCACATCCTCTGTTAAATCCCACAAGCACAACATTGTGTCTTGTCCAACAGATCCAAACCTATAAGTTGTGATACTTGACCCTTGACTCTGTACAGAATTCTGGGAAAGCTCAGCTGAGTTTCTCTGGTGATTAGACTGGCTGCCATTGGCAACAGTTGCTTTAATATCTTCTAATTTTGTACCATTTAGCAGATCACTGCTGTCACTGTTGATAATTGAGGTGTATGGGTCAAAAGCCACAACATTGACCCATGACCTATGTCCTTGTCCTCGACACACAACCCTTTTATCAAAGAAAGACCACACAGTTACCAAGTCATCTTCTCCTCCAGTCACAATAAACTTGGAATCAGGTGCCCAGCACACACAAAGGAGTCCACCAAAGTAACTTCTCATTGTGCCTAAAAGTTCCATAGAATCATAATGAAAGACTCTGAGAAATCCATCCTGACTTACAACTGCTAAATACTTAGCACAAGGAGAGAATGCAAATTCATTTATTGCACCTTGTCCTATCACCCATCGGTACAATGGATTGCGGGTACTTTTTGTTTTACAAGTGTGTATAGAGTACCCCTCTCCTTGTTTAAATGGTTGATAGTTCGGAGGAGTGGGGCCACAAGGGAGTTCTTCATTGTACACATAGAGCTGGCCACTGGCATGGGACACAAGAAATTGGTTAGGCTGACCTGGAATCCATTTGATACAGGTCACTTTAGATTTGTCTATCAATCTCTGAAAATTCAAAAAAAAAAAGAAAAATCAGACCACTAAAAACAAAAGTTTGTTTAATTGTTATCATGGTAATTACTACTGACATATAAACATAGGTAATCAGAGATTACAGAGCTCACCTCAACGAATGTTGTCTTTAAGTAAGGCAAAGTCCTACACTAAACTAATAATCTAGGAGTGTGCATCCCTATATACAACATTTATGCAATTTTGGTCTGATAGGGCTTGCAGTTACTTGGGAATAGACTTATCTGAAAACTTAAAACTAGTCACTCATCCAGAAAATGTAAGTCAAATCCAGCATCCGAAGGAAGTTTGATACTGTTCGTCCCTTGATGCATCATCCATGCAAGTTTGGTTCAGATAGGCCTTATAGTTACTTGGAAATGAGATCTGTTCCAAAAACATTAACCTGGTTACTCATCTGGAAAATGTAGGTCAGATCCAGCATCCGAAGCAAGTTTAGTAGTGTGCATCCTTAGATGTACCATCTATGCAAGTTTAGTCAATACAGGGCTTATAGTTACTTGGAAATGACATCTGCTCCAATAACTTTAACCTGGTTACTCATCCGGAAAATGTAGGTCAGATCCAGCATCCAAAGCAAGTCCAGTAGTGTGAATCCTTAGATGTATCATCCATGCAAGTTTGGTCAAAATAGGGTTTATAGTTACTTGGAAAGGACATCTGCTCCAAAAACTTTAACCTGGTCACTCATCCGGAAAATGTAGGTCAGATCCAGCATCCGAAGCATGTCCAGTAGTGTGCATCCTTATATGTATCATCCATGCAAATTTAGTCAATATAGGGCTTATAGTTACTTGGAAATGAGATCTGCTCCAAAAACTTTGACCTGGTTACTCATCGAGAAAATATAGGTCATATCCAGCATCCGAAGCATGTCCAGTCGTCATTATATTGTTAACCAAACAATACATGCATACATCAATTTATTAGTGCATGAAAATATTACCCCCTTCATTTTTCTGACTATACACAAGTGACTTTACACTTAACCTCTCATGGTCACCTCTACAGACCAATAAACTTGCTTGTTATGAATTTTCTGCCATCGGGCAAAGAATTCAAAACAAGTGAATTTATTGGTATGTAGAGACAATTATGAAAGGTTAGGAGATGGATAAAATATACAGGTTGGTAATAGAATATGTCCAGAATTAGGGAATGAAAGGTAGTTGATTGTCCAGTGCTGGAAAGTGGAATAATACATCCCCAACCGTGCACTTATGGTCAAAGACTAAAATATAAAACCATAACTCTACAGTTCTGCAGCTATAATCATACCTCTTCGTTGTAAAGCCTTCCAAGCTCTTTTTTGATGGGGTCAATCAGCTGTATCTGTCCAGCGGTGAAACCTACTAACAGTCGCACAGACTCGCTGGTCACCAAGATTTTGTTGAAGTCATGGCAAGTTGGGAAAGTCCCTTTGTACAATCGTTTGTCGACTGGTTTTGTAAGATCTGCAGCCTACAAAAACAACACACATATTTATTATGAAACCCTGCAGTCATCAAATAACAACAAAGTACTGCAAAGGAAATACTGAATTTTATGCTTATCAATGTGATAAATACAATAAAGATGAAATGGAGAAAAATAAAATAGTTACAAGATGCATATTTATCTCCAGTCGTGTCAGACCTATAATGTGACCATGAACTGTGTTTAACTATGAAGCACATTTCCATGCAGATTGAATTATACAAATATATAAAAACCTTGACAATCTTTGTTAACATCTGACTACCGGTACAAGTTCAGGAGGAGAAGTTGAGAAAAAAAACACAATATAGGCATGAGCGGCAGGCAACACAAATTTTGTCTGAAAATGCCCTATGAGACAAAAATACTCTTGAAAACTAAGGAATTTTTAAAATACATAAACAACATCAGCTGCCACCCAAAATTCTTGTGCAAACTTGGGAAAAAAAGAAGAGTTTTAAAAAATAATCCCTAGCCTGTTGTAAGATAGAAAGAGTAAATAAATCATCCTGACAGAGAGTAAAACTTTAAAATATTCTCCAATTAAATAATTATCAACTTTGCACTCGTGAAAATACAAAAAAAAAAAAAAAAAAAAAAATCCTGCTCCACTCATGAAATAAATTCCATATCCAAATACAAAATATTGAATATCCTCTATTTATACACTTAGTCGAAAGTAGAGTAACATGTCATTTCTTATCAAGTGAATTCTTGTAAACATACATTTAAAGTTTTTTTTAACAAAATTGATACAATTACACAAGTTCATTTAACAGCACACTACTTTTGAAACATATATTAAAATTACTTCTTTAAAAGGAAAGTGATTACATGTTCAAGTTAAGTGTAGGCCAAATTGTTAGTCATATAAAATTGTTTTCAATGCATCATTCTTTTATAATACTTCAATATTTCCTAATTCCTTAAAGCAATATGAGCTGCACCTTTCATGTCAGAAATTTTTGTTGCAATATTGTAATTAACTATTGCAATGACAGAAAGAAAAGACCGTTTATAAACTTCTATTGTTTATATTTGCACTGGAGAAAATAATTTTAATCTTTGATTGAAGCAAAATTACATTATTGCCGTCCTGTACAATACTGATTTCTTATATAATACTATACATTTCATTGCACAGAAATTTTTTTTCTGAAACAATTTAATACTTTATTTTAGTCTAATTGATCATAAAGGTTTAAGTTACATACAGAATTACAATTACAGCACATTTTAACAGCAAAATAAAATTCACAAAAATGCAGCTCATGTTGCTTTAAGGATAAGCTTCAATACAATATTTTTTATATAGCTAATAAATAGTCTATAATGAAAAACTACTAAAAGTCTAGAGAATTTTAGCATTCAATATCTTGGCCTTTTATTGAGTTTGTATTACGTATATGACTTTGCCCAAAACATTCCGAATACGAGCATTCAATTTCGAACACCCCATTGTAAACAAAAATTGTCGTCTGGTCATCCTCTCAAAGACAAATTTATGATAGTTAGTGGCAGCTAGGTAAGATGTGTTTATCTTCATGCAAAATTGAAATTATTAATTAAAAATTTTGTACATATTAGCCTCAGTAAAACCTCAAAAAGGAAATCATAATGCTTGGTAGGGTCATTGGAATGATGTGATGTTGAACACTTACAGGACAGACATTAATTTAAATACCGATACTGAACATTCTTATTAATCTGAGTTATTTAATTGACATAATTAATATAAATCAATGGGAGATATTTTAGCTATATAATAAAGGAGTTAATGAACTTATATTGGTGAATACTGGCACTCATTAGCTGTACAAATGCACTCACAAGCTTGTGCATTTGTACAGCCAATATTCACCAATATAAGTTAACCCTATAATATGCTTTGCTTTGGAAAAAGCTGTGCAGAATTAAATTAAGGGTCAACCAACACATTTAGCTATCCTTTTTATCTGAAGGAAAGATAAATTAACCTCACTGATACTGTTCTTCACAGGGATCAACATACATTATGGATTGTTTAATAGCTTAAAACGATTTGAATTTCAGAAAAAAAATGTCACTCTTTTCCAGTATGCATGTAGGGATATGTAACTGAGTAAAATCTATGTGGTGCCTTATATGTATATACATATAATTGTGTGGTAGTTAAAAGCATAACAGATATCTTTTTTCTTTCCTGTACTAATTGCTAGTTCAAACAAGGAACCACAACTACTTAAAATCAAATTAAATATCCTTCAAAAGAATAGAAAAGTTACTATGAACTAAACTATAGCATCTTTCAATTTTATCTTTTAGTTCCTGAAATAACCATTACATACTGCTTGTTTACATTGGCGATGCCGTTGCATTTAGCAATGTCAACAAGATCTCCAACGCAAAATCAATGCATCAGCATAGATTTAGATACAACAAACCAATAACTCACTTTAATCTAAACAAAGATATATTGTGCTGTGTACCTTTTTAACACCTTTGTAAACATAGAAGTACAGCTCTCTGCCAATATTAAAACATATTCTATCGGGCGAAGGATCATCGCCGACATTTATGAATGAGGCCCTGACGGGAGTGTTTGATTGTCCGTTGAATGGCACGCGAGTGGGTTTTGTGTATTCGGACCATTGCATTAATTTATAAGTTCCTTCTCGAGTTGTAAACTCCTCTTTTACTTCGTCTTTTCCTCCACCCTCACTCTGCGACGCCATGTTTGTGAGTTTTGAGGTTGACAGGTACCCGGATACGACTATAATGCGCAAGTTCGGTAATCGACTTCCGGTGAAAACAAAAAACACGTGGAGAGGGGGAAAATGTATGAAAGTTGATATATATTTCGGTCGTTGCAACAGACAGGGAAGACGGAGCCATACAAGCATACTTTATTGAAAAATGTCTATACTTGCAAGTGATCAGTGTCAGGAGAGGTGTCATGATGACATGTAGTCTTACTTGTAAGAAGGGGGCTGGATTTACATGTAATTATACAAAAAGGAAGAACTTGGTCCTGCGAAGATAATTCATTATTAAATTAAGGAAATATGTTATGAGAATAACCACATACGATACAAAATCGGAACCCCAGAATGAATTTTGGAATATGCCTGTGATCTTAACAGTACATATACCTGTATACTAGCCAACAAACCCACCTGGTTAGCCAAAAAACCTACCTGGCTGCCACACGAAGTTATATGGAATTTATATGCTTTTAAAATTTAAACAATTTTAAATATCATTTAACTACTGTAGTGTTATTTGATTAAAATTAATGGCAAATTTGAATGGATTTTTTTTAATATGTAAAAAAAAAAAAAATTAAAATATTTTAATTTTTTTTTGGGGGGGGGGGGGGGGGATGGAGTCAAGTTTGCTTTGGAAATGGCTGTGCAGAATTAAATTAAGGGTCAACCAACACATTTAGCTATCCTTCTTATCTGAAGGAAAGATGAATACGTTCTATTTCCATTAGTGAACTCTTCAAAATTAGAGGCGCGTTTGGTTGTCTGACAGGGACAGCATGGCGTTGCGGATAATACAAAACATGCCAATCTCAATCCAATTTTTAATGTAGAATGTATTTGTCATTCCAATTAAAGAATAGAAGAACTAAAAGACATATGTAAGAGAGCAAGAACCCTAAATTTATCATCCATTAATAAAAAATACGACATTTCGAAGGCATGTGTATATTGTATTTAGATGTACCATACGATAAATAGATACATACGATCAACAATAGATATAAATTGATATCGTTGTCATTCCTACTCTTGATGTATATAAAGTCCACAACAATAAAATATTTCATTTGCATTTTCTTAGGATTTGTTCATCGACATTCAACATATTGTTTACATGTTTACGTTACGTTTGTCCCTGAAATCCCGCGAGATTTGTACATTTTCCGACTTTTTCACAAAAGAGCGCACTAAGAAGGATAACTCTTCCATAGTGGAAATAGAACGTATTAACCTCACTGACACTGTGCTTCACAGGGGTCAACATACATTATGGATTGTTTAATAGCTTAAAATGATTTGAATTTCAGAAAAAAATTATCACTCTTTTCCAGTATGCATGTAGGGATATGTAACTGACTAAAATCTATGTTGTCCCTTAGATGTATCTACATATAATTGCGTCCTTCAAAAGAATGAGAAAGGTTACAACGAACTAAACTATAGTACCTTTCAATTTTATCTTTTAGTTCGTGAAATAACCATTACATACTGCTTGTTTAGCCCCCCCCCCCCACCCGCGGTTCCTACGGGCCTGTTACATATCAGCATTTTGTGTCTTTGTGCACGTGTGTGTTTTAATTGAATTTTTAAAATGAATTTCACTCTACAAATTTGATAAATAATATTAAGGCAAAAAATGTTTAAATGGTACTCAATTAGTTTGATGACTTTGAAGACTTTCAACAACATAATAGACAGAAACACCGTCCATCCGATCTGCGTCATCCTGCTGACAAATCCTATTTGTACAACTTAATGAGCATCAAGGATGTGTTAATCTTAAAATCCGTATTAGATACTCTTGTTCAGAATGGTATTCTTTTCACACAGATTACAGGTCTTTCTGCTTAAAAAGGTAGGTCCTATAACAAGTATTTTGTAAACAACGAATAATAATTTTGTGTCTAAAAAGTAAATTAATAGTCTTAATACATGTACATGCATATGCTTTTTAAATGAAAAAAAATATTGAAAAATTTATCTTCATAATAAGGTATCTGTCATATAATTTTTTTTTTTTAATTTAGAACGGAACATTAGTAGCGTTTCAAAAGCAAAAATCAAAGCCCTATTAATAATACAAATGCGAATTATTCTTTAACTTTAAAAAGTTTTTTTTCTGATTTGTTTCTGAAGTCTGTTGATCAAAACTGTAATTGACAATTCAAAGTTATTGTTTACTACCCAAAATTATAAAAAAAAGAAAAAAAAGAAAAAGAAAAAAAACGAAAAAAGCCTTTGTCCTTTGAAAAGTGATGGAGATCAATCGCTGTTCCACTTTTTCGCGATTCGACACGCTTTTCCGCGAAAATCATACTGCTAATATGATATATGTTTCTTTTCCTCGACTTATTTGAACACATACCTCTTCCGTTAGCCAGGAAAAAAATCTTATTAAAGAAATTCCTTTTGCGTCAGTTGTGTACTTTTCCAACATCGCACTTGTTTAAAACATTGATTTTATCCATCGTGCATACAAGTATATTATACATTGGTTACCACGAATGAATTTCCATGACTTCAGAAACATATCACCGACCAATGTGAACTGCAAAATTCATTCAAATTTTGTCGCTCTGCGAGTTCATACTAATTACTACTGACCAGAATAGGCCCGTATTAGAGGGGGGGGGGGGGGGTGTACTTCTTGCAAAAACTACTTATTCCTTTTGAAAAGTGAGACCAACATGAAAAATCACAATCGTTATAAAGAATTGAGGTTCATTGTTGTAAAACATGATTTTTTTAATTATTGTAGGTGATCTGTAGCTCGCTGGTCTGAAAAAATTGAGATGTACGACTAGAGCTACAGGGCCACCAATTGAAAAAATTGTAAATTTATTACGCACAAAAAGTGCGATGTTTCTCAATTTATTTCTCCGTATATTTAAGCTGCCATCAAAATATTACAAACCGTGTGTTCCCAACATATATATATTCTTTACTATTTTCACAATAAAAGAGAATGTTAGGAACACGCTGTTAGTAGTATTTTGATATACATTGTATACAGAGAAAAAAATCGAGAAACGGTGCACTTTTTGGTGCGCAATAATTTTTTTTTCAATGAATAAAATCAGTTATGAGTTTTAAATATATGCGCATCGCAATAAAAATCATATTATCTTTTGGAGATATACCTCTCTCTACATAATGGATCCTACTTTGCCGTGGAATAAAAATATCTATTTGGGACCACCGCCACTTGTTGAGGACCATCCTGAATTTGAAGATGCGAGTGTTATTTACAAACACTACGAAACCCTTCAGCGCATCCTCTTTGCAACAAATCAATCAGTGACGGAAGACAGAACAATGTCGCCAAGAAAAGTTCTACCGGATACTGGAGTTTCCATTGTCATCATGTCCTCTCCGGAGGAATCTATGTCTGTCCTGCTGGAGGGATGTAGACTCTGTCCTGGCGACATGTTACTAGTTCTGTCTCAGTCATGGATCACTCTTTGTAAGAGCGATCACGACTCGGAGCGGAAGTCCATGTATGTTCACAAGGCCGTGACATTTGAGTCTGGATACAGGTCATACCTTGATGTGTTTAATCCACCAAGAAGAGTTTCATATTTCCTTAACAAATATCAGAGTCTCTATGGAGAGAGTTTCTCAGAAGAGTTAGAAAACAGTTTGGACTGCCCGATGTCAGGTTCTCCAATTCTAAACAAAGTAATGAACGACAAGCTATGGACACGTGATTTGATGGCTAAAGCAGGGTTGACCTTTCCTCAGACTCTTGTTTTCATGCCCGGGACCCCAGAGCAACACAAGCTCGATGGCGTCTTAGTATTAACAACTGTAAGCCTCGATTTAAAGATAGATGTGGAGAAAACTGTCTCGGATGCCATTTCCACTTTTCTAGATTCAATAGACGACAAAGAAAAAATGGTAGGTACTTAATTTTATACACATTAAACTTTTCACATCAAGAGATGTACTATACAAAAAACATCAAGTTCGATTGAGAAACAAAACAGACCATTTATTCTGAGTTTATCTGAATCAGGAGGGTCAAATAGATAACACTAAAAATAAACCTTACAATTTTGAAGAAAATTCCTTTCTTTGGTTTATGTAATTCTGTTACCAAAAACATAATTCTTTACAATTCATTTCCATGGTGTACAACCGGTAGAGGGGGGTATCAACCTTGAACACTGATTCAAATTCGTCAAACCACAATATCTTACCAAATTCTGTAGTGTCCAATATTACCTATCTAGCCCTGATAAAACAATTACCATTTATAAACGAAACTATATCTCAAAATTAGTCAAATGAAACACTGAAAAGTCGCAGATCTTGATTTAAAGAAAAATCATGAAATGGCGGTCGGAAATCAATTTTAAGACCTTTACATATGAAGTTGGTGTATGTATAGAGGTAGGATTCTCTTTGACAAACGAAAAAGGTTTGTTTCTCAAATAGTGTAAATGAAAATTTTGTAAAACTCATTTTTTACTTGTTCATCGAGAATACACACGTACATGACTATCAAAATAAATTTTCAAGCATTTATTTTGCCAGCATGCTATATAATATTATTGTCTTGTGAAGTTCATGGTTAAACGAACAGGATCGCAAAGAAAATTACAAAATGAGACAAGGCCCTCATATCACACCAGGAACGATGCAAATGGAATTAAACAAGCAGTTCTGCAAGTTCTTCAAACTCTACAGCTGGAGGAAAGAGTTATGTTAGAAGTCGCGCAAGCCACAGGTGAACCACCCATGCTTAATCTATACACCAAATCAATTGATCTGATGACGGTTAAATTTCAAAATATTCTACTGATCACATGTGAAAATGTTACTTCACTAGTACTGTACCATCATTTGGGGGGGGGGGGGGCACCCTAAGAGGTAGCGGTACCGGTAGTTCTATCTTATACCATTCTCTTGTTAGTATTTGGGTAAAAATTTGTCACAGCAATGTTAAAGTAACACAAGAAACACATTCATTGTTTCATGAACTGGGAAAAAATGTTAAAAAGCCTTTTATATCATCCTTTCTTTTCCAGGAAACGGTATGAACGATTTAACATTTAGCATCTGGGCAAATGTTTGTCGGAGCACCGTTAAGAACTCAGAAGTGTCTTCCATCATTTGTGAAACTGGAAAAAGGACAGAAATGACGTCCACTAAAACAATAACCCAATCGCTGAAAACCACCTTAAAACAGAGAGACCTAGGCGAGGAAGAAGAGAGAATTATTAATCTCATCACAGACATGTCCAAAAAGTTGTTTCAAACATTGATCAGTGAAGAAATAGCTTTATTTAAAAGTAAAAAAGGGGGAGCGATTTTCCAAACAGATTTTATAGGTAATTGAGAAAGCCAAAATTTTATTTATTTAAATAACTTACTCAAGAGAATAAAGTTACCAGTGCCTCATCATTTAATTATCAAATTCTTCAGATCCATACCCTTTTCTGTTGTGCTTCAAGGTATCACACCGGTAATTGTTTTCACTATGTAATTCTATATAGAATAAAAAATCATTAAAAATCAGGTATTCGAATTCATGAAAAAATATTTAGCAGGAAGTTTTAAACGTTACCAGTCACATCAGCTGACACCAAAAAATAGGGTACCTACACGGCATTTTCTGATTTTTTCCATCCGCAAACAGGAATACCCTCAAAACCACGTGTATTCAATGTGTTTATAAACATCCTGTGTGCACCCCAGGAAGTGGCCTCCTATGCCCCGAAAGAAATAGTTCCTGTCAAAAACCTTTAATATTTTACAAGTAATAGCTTCTCAAAAAGCTTGCCTGACTAATCAATCAATATCTATGGAACGTATATGCAGGAGAGGTGCTAAACGTTTCCGTCATCAAGGAGCGACATAGTTACGATACTTCATTGTGCAAAATGTACAGTTGACTTTCTCAAATTTCATAACCAAATACTACAGATTAACGAATATCTAAGACATGCCACTATTTGGTCATTTATTAGTTAGCCCAGGGGCTGACTAGTTACGTTGGGATGAAACTGCAAGTGCGCTAGCGTAGATTATAATCAAAGGCGGATCCAGCACAGCCCCCCCCCCCCCCCCCCCGTTTGAATTTTTTGTATGTAGAACATATATGTTCATTATCCTAAAATCAAGGAAAAAACACCTCTTATTTGTAAGAATTCGTCAGCTTCCGGGGGCTTCGCCCCCGAACCCCCATCAGGGCTTTGCTCTGGACCCACTGGAGTTTCAATGCAGCCCCCAGACCCCCTGCCTTCTACTGCGCCCTCCCGTTATGAAATTCCTGGATCCGCCACTGATAATTCTGGGAAAATAGATGATTTGTTTGAAAGAAATTCATATTACATGTACTCTCTTACTAGAGGGCGCACTTCTTCGTGGTCAGTGATAGATTGATGAGACGGCCTCTACTAGTGTTTATATAGACTGGTCTGTTTTCTGTCGTTCTCGACGACGAAGTAAATTATGAACAGTTTTAACTTGGAAAGTTGTCTTGAAGTGTTTGAGACAAAAATGCTTCAATGCTACTCTAGAAATCAAAGTAAATAACCTGTACACTTTATAGCTAGCGCAAAACAAGATACTAATAATACCCCCACCCCCGGACAAAACTCACGCGATGATGGTCTTACCATATACAAGTACATGTATTATAAATGAGCTTAAAATACATCTTTATATACAGTTTTGAAATTGTTAGTTTTTCTTTTCAATCGATTTCAGGACCTTTCTCATAAAAATAACGTGCTTTTTTATGAATTGAAAACCTTTGCCGATTCTTTACTTAGAACCTTACGGGAGTGAAGCCCATTCCTCTACGGGTACTGACCTACACTCTTGTCACTGTATTAAAAGGAAACCCTTGTTCATCACAAAGCATGAAATAATATATGCTACTCGCTGACTTTCTAAGCTTTTTTAAAAAACCGTACCTTGTAACGTACATTATTAATAAATGTAATGTTGAAAGAAAGGCTAGGTGGAAAACAGAATCAAGAAGGGATGTCCCATTTACTGGGTGGAGGGAGTTTGTTTATGATTAGACTAGTCCACTTATGGAATAAACAGTAAGAATAATCAGCAAATCCATTGCTTTAGTGTTGCCTGTCCATATACAATGTATTCTCATTAAAAAATGAGATAAAATTTACTGTTAATAAAAAATCTGGTGCTTAAGAATCATGTTAAAAGAATAAACTTTATTTATTTCCATAGAAGTTATCACACCCATTCAATAGAACAACCCAAGAAAAAGACGCGAAGATAATTTACATGTGACACTTGGCGCGAAATGATTGAGTCACCCCTTTCGTAGAAGACAAATGGACTGATCCAGTAGTTTAGAAACGCAGAAAAAATCTTACACGGACATGTTCGTACAAAGAATCGCGAAGAATAAACATGTACATGCAAAAAAATTGAAGGAATTAAACACATCATTATTTTGCATCAGTTATATGATTCTTTCTTCTGCAAACTGTATTTGTTTGAATGCAGGTAACAAATTCCAGTGTAAATCAGCTTCCAGAAAATCTAGTTCATTAAGAATGATCGCTTAGTTTCGGATCCTTGAAATATTAATCCTTATACTGCCTGACGCACGTGGCGTCAGGCAACAAAGTACATAAAATATCCTAAGCACAGATACCAAAAATGTAAAAATAGAATAAGGGAAATTAAAAAATTTCTCACAATAAAAAAAATATTTTTTTATTATGTATGGAACTACAATTGACTAAGTTCATTTTGATTGGTCAATTACCGGTGTGATACCTTAATCTTACTGGCATGTCAAATATAACCAACAAAATAAGACTATTGCATGCTTCTTCTTGAGATACAAGAGTTTTTTTTCTGTTGTTGTTCTCCATGGGTAGACTTTCTTTTCATATGAAAAATTGGTATTCGATTTTTTTAAATGAAAAAATTAAGGTGATTTTCTGCTTTCAGAAAGATCTAAATATACAATTTTCAATGGAAATATCTATTTCCAGTTTCCTTATTCAGTATACGAAAATTGGATTTTTTTAACCTTCTATCAAACAATTCTTTTTTAGAGAAAATTATAATCCACTGTAATTGGTGTCAGTGGTTAAATCATCAAATAAGTATCCTAGACGCTGAAAGCACATGTTTCTTCGATTCAAAAACCCAAAAAAGCAGTATTTATATAAGCTTTTACTGATATCTAAAACATTTATCACTATGTCTATACAACACACATATTGATTTTATCTTCTATTTTGTATGTTTTTTTCAAGTTCCAGATTAAATCACTAGTATATCTAAAAGATTAAGGAGTAGAAGTGTTTTCAAAATCGACAGACAAATCAACGCTTGAATGAAGGACAATTCTAATTTTTTTGTATTTTTATAAAATCACCTGAGTCTGTTTGTCGTAAGTCGTTCGTAAACTTGATATTGATCACATTCTGTAAATCACTTGTTATTGGCAAAAACTTTATTTTCGCGTAAATACGCGAGACAGTGTGCTCGCGAAAATTTCATTCTCGCGTATATTAGCATTCCTAAAGATTACACAGAGCAGTAACCTCAACATGAATATTCTGTCTCGCTAATTGTCAATATCTCTCTCGCGAAAATAATGTGTCGCGAAAATTTAGTTATCTACAGTACTGTGACTATGGATTATATACAGTCTTTACTCCTGGACATATAGGCACACTATTTGCTTGATAATAAAAACCAACCAATCCCCTCCCAAATGAAATTCTGGGTCCAGAAAATAAATAACGAGTCCTTTCAAATCGTGTTAACTATGTCCCCAGGAGAGGGGCCATATTGATCACATTCTGTAAATCACTTGTTATTCGCAAAAACTTTATTTTGGCGTAAATACGCGAGACAGTGTGCTCGCGAAAATTTCATTCTCGCGTATATTACTATTCCTAAAGGTTACATAGAGCAATAACCTCAATTCGTGAATATTCTGTCTCGCTAATAGTCAATATCTATCTCGCGAAATAAGGTGTCGCGAAAATTTAGTGATCTACAGCACTGTGACTATGGATTATATACAGTCTTTACTCTTGGGCATCTAGGAGACAATTCTCATGCAATGAGATATTTCAGAGGGTGAGGCTGGGTAAAGACCAAGTTGGTCATAATCTGAGAAATTCATGATTCTCGAGGCCATGTTTTGCTTTTTCTCTAAACAGAAAAATGTATTTGCTTATATTTTTTTTTTTCAATTCTTGAAGTATTTGAAAGTTTTTAATTTTCATATACTAGTATTGTCCTTTACCTATTACCCAGATTCGTAAGTTTATTATAATATTCTTGGTTTCAATGTAATTAGCCAGACAAAATTTATTTCTTCAAATGCGTTGTATTTACAGGAATTGAATATATGTTGGCCAAAGAAAATGACATTTATATACCGATTCCTGTTAACATAAGAGGAAATGATAGCGTCAATGTTTGTCATTTTTTCGAGTTAATGAATCCAAGTTTTGCTGGAAGAACCGTTACCCCTTTAGTCAGAATCATGGTGGAAAGGTCCCAAGGGTATATGATGCAGAACAAAACTGTTTTGGTAATGGGCAAAGGAGGAATTAACAGTGAATATCTGTGGAAACTAACCGAGGACAACAAAGTTAAGGTAGTCGAATTTAAATTCTATTCAGACAACGCTGATAAAGAAAACTTGTCATATATTATTATTATTTTTGAAGTCTGAAATCCTGTTCTTGGTTTTACACATGATAGGTGGTACTGGTGGATAAGGTGCCAGAGAAGAGAGCTCCTAGAGTGTTCCGCTTCATACATTATGATTTTATGGATCGCCAGAAGAACGATTATCATGCGGCGGAGATTATACGGCGCCTGAAAGGAAAAGATATAACTGTTGATGGCTGCTGTACATTCTCAAAGGACAATGCTCTTATCGCATCCATCATCTGTAAGATCCTCGGTTTCAATGGATCGGGCGTGAAAGGAACTCAGGCATCCAAAGTAGCAACTCAGAAAACACTCTTCTTGCAAAATCAACATGTTGAAAACTATCCCAGTTTTAGTTCTTATGCTTCAAAGAGCATTCGTATACGATCGGTCGACGATATTTCCTACGCCATAGACCAAGTGAGGTTACCTGGCATTCTGCAATTTGAATACGGCTCCGGTCAGGTGGGAGTACACCGTTGTAATTCTACAGAGGAATGCATTAAAGTTTTCAGGTCCTTTAGGTCGTTTGATGAAAATTCAACTGAAAATGACCTAACATATGAAAACAAAATGATATTGATGCCCTATCTCGATGGCACAAAACATGATATTGATGTAGTTATGTATAAACAACGGTTGGTAATGGCAATCGTGAGAGATAATGGTCCAGCGATGTCTAACTCATTCATAGAGACTTCTTCTTGCTGGCCATCATTTCTTTCTGTTGAAGAACAGCGCCAGCTTATTGCTGCTGCTTATTTATGTTGCGTTGGGGTTGGTCTGGAAAATGGTGTCTTCAATGTGAAAATGAAAAAGACCTCCACCGGTCCAAAACTGATAGATCTCAACGCAAGAATGGATGACTACTATATTCGGAACTGGCTTCTCGATTATTGTGGGATCGATTTGGCTTTCTATGTGTGTATGATAGCTTGTGGAATGAGACCCATACCTCCACCGAGTATAGATCCTGAGTGCCAAGTGATGGGAATCATGTGCTTTCCATCCCTGCATGCAGATATATTCAACGAGAAAAACAAAGGGACACTAAAGAGATATGAAGACAACGGTGACATTAACTGCGTGATCATCGAACCACCACAGCATTTAGATATATCTGAGGATATCGAGTTACCTCTGTGTAATGTCGCTGTTACTGGAAGTTCTTTAGAGGAAGCAAAAGAAAAACTTCTTTGTATTTGCAAAACTTTAGATATCACCAAACAAGAGTATGACGTAGAACACTTCTTGTCCATGTTTAAATTTTGACAAATACGGCACGTTTTCGACTTCTAAAGATTTCAACCAAATTTGCCTCAAAACATCCTTGGATGAAGGGGATTCAATTTGTTCACATGAAGGGCCACGCCCTCTTTCAAAGGGAGACAATTAAGAATTAGTGAAAATTAAATGGCATCTTTTAAAAACCTTCCTAAGAACCACTGGGCCAGAAAAGATGAAATTTATGTGAAACGTTCTTTACATAGTGTAGATTCAAGCTTGTTCAAATCATGACCCCGGCAGGTAGGGTGGGGCCACAATGGGCGGGCGCAGTTTTACATAGGAATATATAGGAAAAAATCTTAAATAATATTCTTCTCGAGTACAGCAAAGCTATGCTTAAGTATATTTTTATGGAAACATCCACAGCTAGTCTAAATTCAAGTTTGTTCAACTCTTGACTCCCAGGGGTAGGGTTGGGCCACAATGGGTAATCAAAGGATTGCAAAGGAATACTTAGGAAAAATCTTCTCAAGAACAGCGAGTCTATGATTAGTCCTATCTATATGGAAGTATCCTCAGGTAATGTAAATTCAAGTTTATTCCACTCATGACCCCCGGGGGTAGGATGGGGACACAATGAGCATCACAGTTTTACATAGTAATGCATAGGTCTTCTTCACATTAGCACTAAACTTTACTCAGTTTCCTTGAAATATTTGAATGGACTATTTGAAGAAGATAAAGCAAGTCCATACTTGGATACTTCATCTGCAGAATGGATGTTGCCCAGCATATACTCTTTAAGCCACAACGTGTGCACGGTGTGTCGGAAAATAATTCTGATTCAACCAGTTGGTTTCTTAAACTTAAAGGATATGGGCGAACAAGGCGTGCAAAATGCCTACAGCGTCAAATGTTTAAAAGTTATATTCAATTTGTGAATAAACGTATTTCAGTATTAGAGTAAAGTTTTTTTCATTGAAAGGTATGAAATTATGAGAAACAAAACTTTTCTGTGGAAATTTTTTTCGATAAAAATCATTCTATGATTTAAATAAAAATATATTCTTGGGGTTCCAGTACCAAGCAATAAAAATCCTGAGTATGCATTTTCCATGCAAGTCTAACACACTAACCGTTACGCTATATCGCTCATAACATATATTTAACCCTTTAACCCCCAGAGACGCATTTGGACGCATTTTCAGCATCACAGATATTTAACTGTTGGCGTTTTCTAAATATTCGGGTTACAACAAAACAATTGATATTTTCTGAAACTAGAGAAGAAACTAAACATTTTTTCTACTCAAAATTTTTCTGTGCGATGTTGAGAAATTATCATGAACTTGAATTGAATATTGCATATCATTGCAGGAAGTTGATAAAACTACGCATAAATGACTGATTTTGTGCTATCTTCTGTTGGCTTTATCTAAATTACAAACACAATAAAATAAAAAATGAAGCCATAACCTGAAAGCTGGGAATATGCCCTACATTTTTTATTCCGGACATTATAAGGTACATGCATTCGTTACAGAGATATTTGTTGTTGAATATTGGAACTTTTACGAGTAAAATACACAAAATGCACTATGACGTCATTTGACGGTTTACATGCACAATGAAATCGTTCATGAGCTCAGTGTAAAACAAACTGGCTCTTTTGATATATGGAACAGATTTATTTTAAAAATGAATTATTTGTAAAGAAGAGTTAGTGTACGACACGTTTTGAGCCATAAACATGTAATAAAAGGAATTTTCCATAGCTTTGGGAGATGTATACATCTAGTAATAGTCTTTCACCCAACGCCCCGATTGCGTGCACCCATAGTATCAGAAATCCCTGTCCAATTTTGTGTCAGTCCTTCGTGTAGTAGAAATAATCAATCAAATAATTAAATATCATCCTTACCATTTTCCTAATCTTCAGATTTATTATTGAAAAATGAATTTAAAAAATATAAATCTTTTTTTTTTAGTACTTAGTGTACTTTGAAAGGAAAGGTGCATTTTTATTAAAGCGACTGGATAGATAACGCAGTTATCCTTTTTTAATGATTAAAAGATTAAAAAAAACTGTCACAATGAAAAAATATATCAAAAGTACTACGTCCTACGTCGTAAACATAGCCAAACAAACAGCTGATTTTAATCACATTGCTATATATATATATATATAGATATAGATATAGAAATACTTTCTAAATAAACACACAAGAAACTCAGGTTTCTTTGTTCGTGGTAAATTCATTTTTCAGTCTTCACAGAGTTAAGAACAAGTCTATATCACACTGGATAAAAATGGAAAACTTGGGATAAACTAACAAATTCTCCCTCATTGCCTAATCCTTTACAGATCAGCAGGCATTACAGGTATGTGTATTGAAGAAACTGAAAAGTTGAATCTACTGCTACAACAAAAATAAAACGGAGCAAGTATGTAAAATATTTGCCAGAACATCGCGCAAAAATAGCAAAATGCGCCTTTGAATATAAAAACCGCCATTTTACTATTTTCTAAAAGCTGTGGAGAAAAGTTAATGAAAGTACAATCAGAAGTATTCGGAAACTATGCCTACGCTTTATAATTTTGGAAAAACTTGTGTTTTTCACTATAGAAATCAATGGAAAATATTTTCAAAACATCTCCCTTTCCTTTTTACAGCAATTTTGAATTATTATTTAACAAATTCATACCAAAGCTCTTGTTGTTCCTGAGGGTGAGGGTGGGGGTGGGGGGTATGTTTACAGATAAATTACATGAGTTAAACATATGGAAAAAATGAAGGATAATTTATCCACGTCTATGAGTACTTTAAAATATGAGTACTATTTGAAAATCTCTTGATGTTTAAAAGCCTGATTTCAATGGATATACATCTTCTAGATTCCTTATAAAAAGAGTTGTGATTAAGAGCAATGAACAATTTGACACTGGTATTAATAATGTCATATTGTAATTTTTGAATTTACCGGGTGGAAGTAAATACAACAAGAGGCTGGGCCACATCGCTCACCTGAGCTCATTGGCTAGAAAGAAGCAGTAATCAGTTCAGTATTGAAGGGGGAGGGGGGCAAACTTTAATTAAAACTACCTCAGGAAGCTTCCATATCAATATCACAAATCATGGCTTTGCTGTTCTTAAACAGAAGAATTTTAAAGATTTTTTTCCCTATGTTTTCCACTGTCATGGTAGCTCATTCTGTAGAGCTCTCGCTCCGTGATCGGATGGTAAGGGGTTCGAGCCCAAGCCGCGACTGACCTAATTCGATAAAAAAAAAAATAGGTAGCAACTGTTCCTTCGCCAAGCGCTCGGCACTTTGAGGTGAAAGTTGCGGGTCCTTCAGATGAGACCTTAATGACCGAGGCCCATGTCACGGCAGGCGTAAGCACGATAAAGATCCTCCACTGCTTAATGGCTCTGAGTGCCGAGTAAAGGTCTAAATTTGAAGCCCTTCACCGGTATATGGTGAAGTCTCTATATGAGTGAAAAATTCTTGTACGGAACGTAAAACAACGTACAATCAGTCAATCCTATGTTTTCCTATGTAAAACTCTGACCTCTCATTGTGGCCCCACACTACCCACCCTAAATTTGAACAAATTTGAATCTACAGTACCAAAGGATGCTTCTATAATAATATGACTAATAATGGCTTAGTGGTTCTTGAGAAGAAGATTTTAAAGATATTTCCCATGTAAAAGCATTTTATAGTAGAAAAGGATTTATCTAGAGAAAGTTTCAAAATGTAATTAACTAAGCAGTAATTAATTAACAAAGATTGCATTGAAGTCTAAGGGGACAAGCAATTTTTCTTTAAAAAATATTTATTCAAATAAAAAGAATATTAATAAATACTGTGGTGGAAAGATGCATAAAACATTATAAATCGAATGACAATTGAGAACGATTTTTTTTACCAGATAAGTTTTTTTTATAATTGAATTTTTCAAATAAAAACAGATGGAGATAACCCTTACCAAAATTCAAGGTCATAAATTAGGACACATCACACACTTACACGCTAATAGTAATAAATGGGAATTATGTCTAAATATACTGAGTATTAAACATCTACATAATTATCTGTCGTGTATTCAATTTCATTGAATCTGTTGATATTAGGGATGGAATACCTTAACTTCTTTATTGCTGATTCAGCATCCAACTTCTGCTAGCTTCTGAATGCCTGACTTTCCCAAAGCTTTGGCTTATATACCCTTTGGTTTGGCTAGTCCATTCCAAGGGTTGCCAGGTCATTCCATTATTTCAGGTCTTCAATGCATTTTACTTGAATGCCCCTTAACCATTACACCTATATATTTCTATGTAAAACTCTGACCCACTGTTGTGGCCCTGTCCTATCCGTGGGGGTCTTGATTTGAACAAACTTGAATCTACACTACTTGAGGATACTTCTATATTAATATAACTAATAATGGCTCCGCTGTTCTTGAGAAAAAGATTTTTAAAGATATTTCCAATATATTCCTATGGTGAACATTGAGTTACCTGAGGATACTTCTATTATAATATGACTAATAATCATGGCTTTGCTGTTCTACAGAAGAAGATTTTAAAAGACATTTCCTATTTATTACTATGTAAAACTTCGACCCCCTCTTGCGGCCCTGCCCTACCCCAGGGGGTCATGATATGAACAAATTTGAAGCTATAGTATGTCATGAAGCTTTCACACAAGTTTCATCTTTTCTTGCCCAGTTGTTCTTGAGACGAAGATATTTAAAAAAAAGCCACCAAATTTTTACGAATTCTTAATTATCTCCCCTTGAAAGAGGGCACGACACTTCCAGTGAACAAACGTAAATGCACCCAAGGATGCTTTGTGGCAAGTTTGGTTGAAATTGGCCCAGTGATTCTTGAGAAGAAGTCGAAAATGTGAAAAGTTTACGGACTACAGACGACAGACGGACGCAGGACACTTTTTGATCAGAAAAGCTCACTTGAGCCTTCGGCTCAGGTGAGCTAAAAATTACAATATGACAATTTGTAATATTGTAATTTTGTATTTAC